GAAGTTGCTTATTGGGTTGAATATATTCTCTCCAAGTGAATGATACTTGAAAGTAGGCAGAATTAAAATCAAGACAAGATAATGTATGATATGTGAGAGAGGTGTAAGCCTGTCAGGCCCCAGCTGCTTGATGTCAGCATGCTATGGCGCTAGTTAAACTGAACCAAAGGAGCTCGAGAAGCCGACCCCACAACAACGCGGGGTTTGAACACATCGCTGCCAACGACAGATCAAAGCAGCCAGTTTCGCCAGCTTTTCACTGCATGTTCCAATTAAAATGTAAATTCAACACCCTCAACTTTATCTTGGTCCGAACGTGTTTGCTAATTAATTACATGGTTTACAGGAATAGCCTCCAATGCATTTTTCAAATTTCCGGAGCGAGAGATGCCGCCATGAAATCCAGCAGCTTGGGAAATGATACGCTAAGGTCATCATACAAGCCAACATGTGTCTGGCTGGGCACAAGGAACAGTTCTTTCGGCTCCTTCGCACGCGCAATAGCTTCCTCACTGTAGTAGCGGGCGTCTGCGTCGGTCCCAACAATCATAAGAAGAGGACGAGGCGATATCAAGTCAACAAAGTTGTATGACGAATAATTAACCATCAAATCGTAGCTCCGGAGGAGGAAGCGATTGGTAGACCGAGGATGCTCGGCACGCGGGGTGCGATAGTAATCGCTTCCCTCACGAAAGAGAATAGGAGTGTCTGGTGGAATATTCTTCGCATCGTCAGGCACTATAGGTAGAGTTGGCGGCTGTTCTCCTTTGGCCTCCGAAATGCGAGCTAGGCCAGCTGATTCGAGTGATTTCTGAAGAGTTTCGTGGTCGACGGTCATGGCGGTGCCTTTTCATGCCTTCACGGAACAATTGACCAACGTCGACGGGCGCTCACAGTGGCCACGGCTTTGATTCGAACATCAGTCTGAGCGGCAAATGGCACATAGGCCTCTCGAAGCACCGATACCAAGAGCACCGATACGGTGAGGATCAATCTCAGGCGGCCATTGAGAGATAAGTAACTGCAGGATCTGACGTCCTCCGCACGCTGGCTGAGTCTTCCAGGCTGCGGGTTCTCCGTGACTCTCTCCTGGTACGCTGCATCAAATGTCAGAGCAAAAAACCCTTCTTCGGCAAATTTGAGTGCGTGTAAAGCGGCCGTTTGTTCCTTGACGCCTCCCATGGGATGACTGATGACGATTCCTGCTCGCTTACGGTCCGGGGCGGACCCAGTCGGTATATACAGCTCACCGACAACGGTTATACCCTTACTAGGGAATTGAACCTTCGTAGGTACCATGACGGCGATGAGAAGACAGGGGAAGCTATTCAATGGTGGAGTCTCGAACACGCAGGCAGCTGAGCTCTAATGGATTGAAGACGCCCATCATGGACAAAGTGATTATGATGTCAGTATGCTAAAGCTACCTTGAATTGTTCTCATAATGTAATAATTAGAGAGTTCAAGTTGAGTTTGGAATTGTTGGCGATTTCTGTCGATTAACTTCAACATGACCCATGAATCTCTCTATAGCTCAGATCCATCTATGACAGCCTTTTCTACCTGATTACAACAACCTCCTGGTCAACTCCCAAGTCCTTTCATTATGAATGTGTAGCACCCCCGGGTTTGTTCAAATATTGCCCGCCTCATCGGCGCCTAGTCAAAATTTGGCGGACGAAACGGGAGAACATAGCTAAACATTAGCGCATGTGAGGTAAGGTCATCAATAAACGACAAGTGTAGGTTTTTGCTATGCCAGGCAAACCGGTCTAGGAACAGCTCCAGCGCATCCTGGCTTCTCTGTGGATCACTTTGAACAGGGCCATGGAGAGCGTGGAAATGCTGCCTTGCGGAGAGAGTGTGCCATAAATGGATGTAGTTAACAATGCAAGCAGCTGGATGACTGCGCTGTTCTCCTTGTGATAGACAAGACTGGGATCCTTTGGCAATAGCAATGCTGGAGGATTGATATAAGTTCTGGGGTAGGGCTGAAGACAGCTGCACGTGACTGGAGCTCAGGTTGATCGCCTTCCTGCTTCACAGCAACACCAACAAAGACACTCCATGTCACACTTGCGCTTGAACCGGTAATGCGCTCGGCCGCAAACTGATTCCAGCTGAACAACTGATTGATCCTATCGATACTATCCTCGTGTCTGCTACCCGTCTGAGCTCCTGAAAACATGTCTGTCGAACTCGACCCCCCGGAACTGGGCTTTCGACGTAAGTAACAGACCGGCTCTTTTATCCTTCTAACCGCCTACTCACACTCGGCAACATGTATGGCCATTCCACCAGGAAGTCAGCCAACACTGCACTTGCCAAACCCCAACTCTGATCCAGTGGCTTTCAAGGTATCGCCCTTCCTCCCCTGCCCTGCCTGGTAAAACAAACAGCTCATCGAACTGCTCCTATCCTACGTCAAAACCACAGCTCCACGAAAGTACGCATGCATTCGCAACTACGCACAGGCTGGACTATTCTCCAGATCAGTATGCGCTGACTGCTTTTTAGATATTGTGTTCGTCCAAATTCTGGCCGTATCGAACCGGGTAAACATATGGAGGTTGAAGGTATTATGTGATGTCTAGCCGCGGGTTGGGTCGCTTGGTGCTGACCCCGATTCCAAAATGCAGTCCTCCTTCAAGCAATGAAAGACGAGCCTCCACCGGATGCCAAGTGCAAAGATAAGTTTCTGGTCCAGTCCGTCGCCGTTTCTGCGGATAAGGAATTTTCAAACGTTGCCTCGATTGTACGTGGTCACATGCCCTCATTTGGCGCCTACTTTACTAACGGCGCTGCAGTGGCAGGACGTTGAAAAAACGGCGAAACATTCTATTCAAGAACGGAAAATCCGAGTCAACTTCCTTCCCGCTCTAGATGATGCTCAGCCAAATGGAATCGTACGTCCGCTTCAAAACAAACAACGAGCAAGGTACTTATTTTGATTTTTATTTAGGCATCGGAAGATGAATCTACCACTTTACATGCGTCTCCGGTAAACGCCAAATTTGAAACCCCGTCGATGCCCACCCGTGCAGCACCAGTGATCGCGGAGCCTCCAATTCAGCCTCCCAAGTTCCAGCCTGAGCCTTCCGAATCCACCATTCTAGAGACCCCGAAGCCGGTCGCGGAGGATGTGAAATCAGAGCGCTCAACGGAACCTAGCGAACCAAAGGACGATCTCAAATCCCAACTTGATGAAGCCCGCGTTCAGATCCAGCAGTTGAAACAGCAGGTTGCTGAAAATGAGTTACGGCGAAGGAAAGTAGCAACTGAAGGCAGTACTTCACCCGAGGTGACTACTTTGCAACAGCAATCGCATTCGACTCCGCAGATGGGGGTCCCTCTCCAGGTTGTTGCCGGCCTCTGCCTGATTAGCTTCCTGCTGGCATACATTTTCTTCTAGGCTTAATATGTATTCGCTATTCCTACTTTCTCGTTTCCAGTTTACTACATTGCGTTATTCACCCACTCGAACACGCGGCAATTTCTTCTTCCTACCTTTGTTTTCTAGCGAGTTCTGCTCTCTATCCGTCCGATGTTGCATATATCGCAGTTCGCACCGCCATCAACGATTTATCTATTTCTTTAAACAATGTATTCTTCCGGTTTGTTAACCGTCAGCTTACATGTCGGCACTTTAAGACCGTGCTCAGTGCTCTCAAGTAACGTGTCGATTGAGGGTCCAGGGAATTATCACCCAGGCCCATTTCCTCGTCTTTCATGACCGAGTATTCTTTCAATAAGGAAATGGATTACTCCGACTCAGCCCGCACTCTCTTTCCATTTCACTTCAGCTTGTCTCCTTTGTCTACATACCTAGCTGATAGTGTTTCCTTGTTTTCTACCTTTCTTGTCCCTTCCTCGACGTGATATGAGAGATGCGACACGGGAGTATGCGCTTCAAAACAAAAAGGTTACTTGTTTTCACCAAAGCCAACCTCTCAAGATTCTTGTATGCAGGGTATTCAAATATGGGAAACAGGCAAATAATTAATCTTATCTTTATTCTCTCTTAGCTCATCCGTTTTTTTTTAATATATAACTGTCAAGTTTTGAGGCTGATGTTTGAACATGCAGCCACGGATATAACAACTAGATGGTGCATATGAGATGAGAGTGTGGTGTTGACAAAAGTGCTTCAGTGGTTAGCTATTTCCATTTGGTCTGCAAAACTCGTTGGTATCTGTTTAGGCTCTGGATATTGACACGAAAAGGTATACTTAGATAATACAAAAACAATCGAACAAAACAAGCCAGGAGACAGAGTGCAGTGGTATACATTCATCACAAGAGCATATTCGATATCATCCATAATGCCCAGAGCAGAATAATAATCAAAAGTTTGGCTTGAGCCCGATGAGCAAAGAAAGCAAGGTATTAGGTGTTTAACAAATATCAAACTGACTCCAAGAATGCCATCCCATGACAGAATTAACAAAGAAATCTAAAGCCTGTAAACGTTGTAGATGGAAAATGTAAAAGCGGAGGAAAAGGAAAAAGGACAGGAAAAAAGGGGACTGTCCAGAGGTTATCTGGCTCAATTTTGAATCTCACTCTCTTTCCACCCGCTATTGTCCTTCCCACCAACCATTCGCCCACCTTCCGCTCTCTTCACCCGACACCACATACCCACATTCTTATCCAAGATGAATGTCCAAATCACCCACACCCAGCTTCGATGGCATGGTAATGGTTCATAAAACTCTTTTGCAATGCGATGTAAGGTATGCAGTCGGGTCCAAGGGATTGCCGGAAAGTCGTGGTGTTCATTGTGCAGACCGACGTTATAAGTGAAAATGTTAAGCGGTCCGTAGTAGGAGTATGTTTCAGGGGGGGGCAACGATGCCAAAGCAGACGCAGAGGTGAATTCTTTCTTTCCTGATTTGGCTTTCCGTTGTTCTTCAATCGACTCGGTTCCTCCGCTTGTTTTGGAAAAGAAGTAATGCTCCGCGATGAAGTGGCCAGCACAGGGATGCAAGGAGCCAGCGAGGAATGAACTGAGGATCAAGTAATAGACTGATTGCATTGAGGAACCGCAGAGCTTGTAGAGGGCAAAATCAAACATGAATTGTGCGATTATATTGAGGAAGTGGATATGTGTGAAGGCGGGTGTGTAGATGAACATGGGCCGAATTGCGTAGAAGAGGATTTGGAAAGTGCAAAAGAATGCTTTTCCTAAAATCGAGTCGAATAATACGGCCTCCAGGGCCGTGGGAAGGTCGGTATCGAGCGACGCAACGCCGAGGGATTTATGATGGGTTAAATGGTAGGGCTATTGATGGGACTAGACGTCAACCAGGCAAATCCAAGCCATTGAAATTGAACCGGGGGGACAACATACCCTAAACGCAGCACTATACGGTAATCCAATTGGGAAATTCGCAAAAATAGCCAACAATCTATTCGCCAACGGCAATTTGAACGCCAGATTATGTGAAATCTCGTGAATGGCAAGGAAGAGGTTTTGGTTCGCGGTGGCGCCGATAACGTACGCCGTCAGGAAGAACGGCCATGACAGCACCGGCGTATTGCGTAGGAGATATGCGCAAGCAACCTGAAGCGAAACAACGCCCAAAACGACGTATTTCGTCAACGGCTCATAACCACAAAGCTTGAGTACCTGTCGCCGTCACTGGGTTAATGCAAGGTCCCGATTTTCTAACGAGGCTCAGAGTCTCACCTCCGGATGCGCTTTGATGATTGCCTGCCTCCTTGACTTGTGCGGTTCTTCTGTATACGTCCAGAAAAAGTGATCCTCGACAGAGGAATTCGAGGGTGGCGGTGGAGCTCGAGTAGAAAGGGTCTTCGTCTGGGAAGTCTGGGACCGAGCTGACGCGCTCCTCATGGCTGGCATCGTTACAATTGAAGAGAATGACCTACAAACCAAGTGTAGGAAATTAGGGCTGAGTAGGCTGGATGCAAAACATGGTCGGATTCCCCTATATATATAGAATCCCGGGGTTGCTTCGTAGAACTCCAGCTTATCACCTTAAATCTTTGGTCGCGGCTCGCGGAAGATGAGCTCCCTCGTGGGGCGAGTGGCGTGCTTACGTAACCTGTAGTTTCAATGATATTAAGGGGCAAAAAAGAGGATATTACAGAGGCCAGTATAAATAAACTGCTGTTTGTGACATTGCTGTTTATTGATGAAGCTATTTTGTATTTTAGTCCTTTTCAGGGCTAAGATATGAGTCATTTATGATTTTTGATCCGAAAACTTTACAAAGTAAAGCTGATGCTACTCCTATTACCAGAGTGCACCTCGTCTATTACCCAAGAATATCAGTAATCGTCTCCTCGGGTGATGACTTCTTTCACATTCGGCCTTAGCAGAATGGTCTAGGACAAAGTCGTTAGTTTGGTAAAACTTAGAGATACGGGGAGTGGCGGCGCTTACATGCTCGAACTGAGCGGTGTATGACCCTTTCACATCGACGAGTGGAGGATAAGCGTCCACGAGGCCAGATGAGACCAGGTTGTTCAACTGTAGTATACACCGGGTTAGTTGGTAGTTCTACATTTATCAAGGGGCTGTATCTTACCCCGAGAAGGTATTTATCCTGCCCGAGACGGTCAAGGTATCGACGACAGAACGGCAATGTGCCAAAGTTCTTCGTGATAACGTTCAACAAGTTCTTAGCAGACGACAAACGAAGTGGAACGTTGGGCGCATCAGGGACTCTAGCATAATGAGAAACCTCCATCTAAATGTGGCGTTAGTATCTCTAGGCCCAACTTCCAGCAGGTCGCGGGGGTGCACATACATCGTCTCTCACATATCCTTTCCCGGTGCTACCGAACGTCTCAATGGCATAGGTCTCACCCTCTTCCATCTTCGTTTGGTCGCCGCCCTTGACAATGGGAACGCTCTTCCCGGTGCTTCCACCGTGGATAAGGTAATGACCAATGGTATGGCCATTGAGGTTTCGGATGGCTTTCACGGGGTAGGTAGTACCATTAAGTTCAACCTCGTAGCTTTCCATTGCTTCCTGAATAGCGGCGCCAATGTCACTCATTCGGACGTCAATTCCTGCTTCCTGTTCAAATGATCAGCCAAGTGAATTCCATAACCCAGAAACCTTTTGAGGCTTAAAGTACCCTTATGCCAGTGTTTGTAGCATCCTTCACTGCCTCCAACAGATTGTCATAGACGGGATCAAAAGCCACAGTAAACGCACTGTCGACAATTCTGCCATTGACGTGTACTCCGAAATCCACCTTCATGACATCTCCATGTTGGAGAACCATTTTATTCCCAGCGTTAGGGGAGTAATGTGCAGCACAATGGTTGATATTCAGCCCAGTCGGGAAACCCATTCCAGCGACCAAGCTGTCCCCTTCTTCGAGACCCATATGGCCCGTTAAAGCACGGACACTATCTTCGATGCCCTCCGCAATTTCGGTCAACGAACGCCCCGGCTTAATCAGCTCTTTCTGGGCATACTGGCGGACCTGCCGATGAATCTCGGCCGCCTGGCGATAATCAGAAAGGAAATCATTATTCATGCGGTCCAGATGTCTCTTCTCCTCGTTGGTTGTGCGATAGGCATTATCATCCTTGTACTCCACAATATCACCTTCGGGGTATTGGCTGTTGGGAAAGAGGGTCGAGAGCGGCACACGCGGGGGGTTGCTCTGAACTTTTGCAACACCCTTCTTCTTCTTTTTCTTGGGCTTTCTCTTCCTCTTCTTCTTGTCTCCTGCGGGCACAGATTCTTAGTTACTCATGAACAGATATTGCTTTTCCTCTCGTGCTATTGGGGTTCATAGGTTCAAGATTTCTGCATACCAGTTGCAACCGCCCCCTCCGCTACTCCCTGATCATCGTCTTCATCCGATTCTTCATTCTCCGCATCTTCATCTCCAGCGGTACCCTGGGCCGCGCTACCTTTTGTGGGAGCTTTTGCAACGCTCTCCTCGTTGACTACAAAATTCATGGACGCATTAGCTAGGTGTCTATACTCAATGAGAAAAAGGAGGAAACCGCAGTAGTAAAGGAAATCCAGGGAACTCACGGCTAAGCTTATCGACTTCGGGAGCTTGCACAGCCATTTTCGATAACCTGCTAGCTCTCTGGAAATCAGATCTGCCTCTGTCTGATCAAAGGTTTTGAACCGAACCACGCGGGGCGCTGCCGCCTTAGCAGTGCTTGCAGCGACACTAACAGCTGACTAATCAGGGCTTAAGGGCGGCAGGCTAAGTTAGTTTGTTACTGCTCTGGCAACAAAGAGAAGACGTTAGGATTAATAGCACGCCTTGCTCCGAAGAAGCCCTAGGAATGGCTTTGGAATATTTGATACGAACCATTGGTGGTAATTATCCGGCAGGATGCCTCCAAAAAGATTGGTTGAGAGCCCTCTACATAGCTGTGTCTGCCTGATAGCTTGGCCTTGAATAAAGGACTGTGTAGCCATCTCCTTACCCTCTTCATCACCTCAACACCATAGAAGTAATCAGCTTTCTTTCCGTATTCCCTCTACCTGTTGATACCCAGACAAGAGTGTTCATTTGTTGCTCCCTTTAAGAGCAACTTGTTTCCCCAGTCGGTTGCTGTCTGGACTTAGGATTCTGCACCATACTGGCTATGCATAGGATCCGCGTCGTCGCTTCCAAGTCATTGTGTATACCCTATTTTGCGACGCACTACCTCTATGGCTTGGGCCGACATCCTTCATGAAGCTACGCGACGGCCGCCATCTCCACGAACCGAGAATGTCTACTACCACACTTGCTTCGTCTATAGCCCACAAAATCCTTCGAAACGATACCCCCCTATTATTGCGTACTTGTCCCGTTGCGCTGGTGTTCGGATACGGGAGATTGATCTGGACTGGAAGAAGAACCCTCGTATTGTGGTAAACGACTTGATCGTTAATCAGACTATGAGTCAATCCGACTTTGAAGAGATCCTGCGGCAGGCTATACACCAGTCCGGTGAAGAAAATACGGGAAGTCGAAATGACAACGACTATGCACGTCAGCTCCTACTTCACTTCCAACCCACGTTCGGCCTTCAATCATTCGCACGGACGACATCAGATATATACCTCGTGACTTTAAAATCTGGAACGGAAGATGATCTGTGGGAACCCGATCCTCCGTCTTACGACCCGCCCTCGAGCTGCTCCATGCTGTGATTATCGCGAGAATATGTTTGGAATCACTCGAACCGGTCTTTCTACGTTTCAAGCAGGTTGCGGTAGCATGGAATGCCATCGATGTCTTTAGTAACTTTCTGGCGTCTCTTTAATTCGCGAAAATATGGGCGCGCGTTTTGTAAGTTTCCTTTTGTGCTCTAAAGATTGGCTTAATTGATGCCCATGGTAATTCACCCGACCAAGAAATCTTTCATATTCTCCGCCTCAACCCTCTCGGGACACAAGATTGTAGTTCAATGAATACTTCGTGTAAAAGTACTTCCAGTCGGGCCCGTGAAATTCGCTTGTCATGGCGACAACATACTGCATATATTCAGGAAGATACCGCTCCTCTCCCATTCAATAATTCCGGTAATACGCCAATCCAGGCCCTTTCCGATTCCGACGTTCTCAACCGGGATGTTATGTGGACAGAGGTCTCCATGCGTGAAAACGAATCTTGGTGTCTCTTCAACGCTGCGAAGCTTTTTTCAGCGTCTTCTCAAGGGCGTCGGCGGCGGTTGTTTTTCACCGGGCTAACTCATGAGCCTTGGCTATCGAATTCGATCTCGGTTTCAAACGGGTTACAAAAGCAGTTTTTGAACGGATGGTAAGGATCGCGAGCATGATGATCACTCCCAACACCACCAATGCAATCTAATGTCGACCGTCTCAAGAGCACAAGTTGCTGCTGAAGCTGGGATTTGAGCGAAATCTTTGGCGCCTTGACCGAGCGTTTGCCACACTGAATCCAATCGTCGACCAGGACAATAGTCCATGACCAAAAACATCTTCCCATTGACTACATAGCTAACAAGAATGCACACTGTTGAGATTATCGAAGTTCATGTCTTTTACCATGGCTTGCGGCTCAAAGGGGCCTAAATTGCCAAAATCCGCACTCCAATATTCAAGAGAAAATAAACATATATTCTATGTCAATGATCTGGTAGCTCGGAATGCTTCTGTAGCTGATCAAGCAATTTCATTGTCTTTTGTAGATCTCGCTGAAATGGGTTTACCTGCAACAACGACCGGACTACCTCGGCTAGAACGCCCCGGAAATCCGGATGGCTATGCAGGGTGCCATTTCTCTGCAAATGGTTGTCTATAATGGACAGTTGCAGCTTGGAATCACCATCTAACTTCCATCAATACTATTCTAGGCTAGAGGGTGTGAATAATGGGGCCTACTAGAGTAATCCGTTAGATCATTATAGGCAAATAGATCCGTGTCAATCAATGCATATACAATCTATATAACAACTTGTCAGCTCGTCAACATTCATATTTGATTGTGGAGGATAATCTTACCACACAACCGAGACTCCAAATATCACACTTTGCAGTCGCAGTACTTGGCGTTCCGGCTTTCAATTCAGGGGCACGGTAGAATTTTGTACCAAACAACCCATTCTTAGATGGAGTGTTGAAACCTGAAAAATCCAGCAAGCGGCCACTCTGTTAGTCTAGTTAGTCTAGTAGCCTAACTATTTGTCAGATACACCTTGTCCAAAGTCCATGATGTCAACACAAGACATATCAGTTGTGTTTGTCAAAAGGGGCAATTCATGAATCAGAATGTACTCTGGAGTATATGCTGGCCGAGGAAAGTTCTCTTCAGATTCTGGGGCACCATGAAGCTGGATGTAGGATTTCCTATCCTCCCGAAATGTTTCTTGTAGAGCCTTTGGAGTAAATGCATCCTCATGGACTCCAAAAGCAATGTTCCCAGGGCTAATGTCTATTGTGCCATAAACAAATTGGTGCAGCTCAACATCACAGTTGATGCAACCAAGATAGTCACTGACCACCATGAGTAACTCCCTCTTTATGATATGTAAAAAGCTTTGCCACAGTGGTAGTCACAAAGACAGCAATTGAATGTATGTCGGAAGGCACCTGAATGCAAAATTCAGACCCCCTATGAAGAGAAGCTCCAAGTGGAAGCATTCCAAGGCACAAGAATTGATCTCCAGTAGGAGCATGGGTATGGAAAAAGGCAAGTTGCAGTTTGTTAAGTTTCCTCAGGATTCTCATTTCAGCATTATCCGGTGCGCTGTGATTAAGTTTTAGTACCTTCAAGGCTAAAAAGTAATCAGAATGCCTGTATGTGCCTGTTAATAAAACTTCAGAGAGAAAAGCAGTAAATCACCAAAAAGGGATGACAGGAAGACACACCTGTCCTTGCCCAGCCAAACCGTAGAGTAAGATCCAAGTTTGCCAACGACCTAGAAGGAGCATGGCTGTCCATGAAGCAGATCATCACCACTCAGGACACTGCCAATCACTATTGGACACAGGCCGCCGGGATTGTATTCTGCCAGGAATTCACAATCGGCACCATCGCGATAAGTGGTTGTCCAACCAGGATGGGGATCTGAAAGTCTCTTGATGGGATACTGTTTCGGAGGCATGCTGAGTGGAAGCGCTGGAGTTAGCTGAGATTCCGGGGCGCAGCGAAGAGGCTCGATAAGTTGTGGAAAGGGGATGCGGAAGAGGACAAAACCCCATACATCCACAATGACAATGTTGAAACCCTTCAAGCAGTGGTTTTTAGTGGTGGGATGCGTCTCAAGAGCAATTAATCCCACTCCAGCATTCAGCTGAACATAATCAGATATTATTCAACGATCTCTATGAGAGAAATAGAAAACATAAATTATGCTTCTACAGAGTAGAGATCGTGACGAATGGGATTCTGGTACATTTTACACAATGAGAGCTATGCCTCGTAGTATATAAGGGGGTGTAGAAGGGGAGGGCCTCCCTCCTGATGAAAGGGTCCTCCTGAAGGAATACAATTGCATAGAATTGAGAATAGTCTTGCGTTGGAGCAAGTGAATGAGAAGATTGGTGTTATGTGTGTTGGAGGTTGGCTGGGGCTACTCTGTGCTACTCCACGCTCCGTAATATGTTCCAAGAAACCGGTCATCGAATCCATCAAGGACGACTATAAATCCACCACTGCACATTTCATCCTCCTGAGTCCTAGGAAAAACTACAAACGTCCGCAGATGATGCAGCGGCATGCCATTCTGCACCCATCACCCCTCCCCCGCTGCCTTTCTCCGTCTGCCATCCAGTCTACGAATCCACCCGTTCACTTCGTCAGCGGCGTGCTGGTTCGCGGAGAGCCGGGACCCAACATACTATGAAGTCTTGAACGTGCCAGTTACTGCGACAACGCAGGAAATCAAGAAGTAAATCTCACCTCCTCTCATCGTCTTGCCAGACAATTCTTTTAACCTCTCCCTCGCGGAAACAGGCAATTCTACGCCCTCTCTCTTGCCCACCACCCGGACAAGAACCCCAAAGACCCCAAGGCCTCCGCACGCTTCGCGTCCATATCAAACGCTTACCACGTCCTCGCCAACACCACCAAGCGCGCAAAGTACGATCGCGACCATGACATACACCGCGCCGCCGCCGTGTCGTCCAGTACCCGAAGCGGACATCGCGGATCGTACGTCGGCTCGCGGCCGCCATCGGGGCTGAGCAAACGACGGGGCCCCTTTCGAGGACCGCCCCCGAGCTTCTACGCACACGGCGGGTATGGGGCCGCGCCACATCACAATCACCCCCATCACGCACAGCAGCATCAACACCCGGGTCAGGAACACCAGCACCAGCAATCTCACGGCTCCGACCCCTCGTCATTCATTCACCACAACCCGGTCCCCCACTTCAACGCCACCTCCCACTTCCGCACCCAGACCCATGAAGACACCCGCCGTCGCGAACGTCGGCGCAAGGCCATCGACCGCGCAACGGCGGAAGCCGCAGAGCGCGGGGTCGACGAGGCAGAGTACACGACGTCGCGCTTGCTCATGGTGTTGGGGATAGTTGGCTTGGCCTGGGCGACCTTGATTCTGGGCCAGAAGCTGGAAGGCCCGCGTTCACCGCCATTAAGCTATTCTGCGAAAAAGGCGGAGGAACACGGTCCTGTTACGGGTTCGACTACGACGGCTGGATCACGTCTGCAAGAGCGTCGGGAGCAGCACCAGGAACATAGCCATGTCGAACGAAAAGTAGTACAGTCCAAAGTGGAGCAAAAACATGAGCTTCAGGCAAAATTATGAATGTATGTTCCGAGAAGACTGTAAGAAAAACAATTCAGTAATGGTTTTCCAACAGTTGCACTTTTTATAAGGCAGCCTATTCAAATTGTTTCTGTATTCAATAGGGTGTACAATATGATATCATGGTGTGATACATAAAACGTCTAGCTGATCAAAATGCTTGCTCGGGAATCCGCTAGGGGAAACGTGGAAAACAAGGTCCGCAATAAAGAGCATCGTAGAAGGTTCAATTGATATGGTATTACAAAGGTCTTCTACCACCAAATAGCCAATTCATTTAACCTTCAAAAGTGAAACTGGCACCAACTTTGTGGGCAGCCTGGTTCAAGTTCTGGGTATCGAAAGAAGCACCGAGACCAAGGGTGACACCTGGTCGGAGGAGAACGTTGTATGCCAGGGCGGCGATACCACGGTCGTTGATCTTGGCCTGTGAAGTAAAAAGGACAGTTAATATCGGATCCTGCAGGAGGTTCAAGGCACAAAAAGGGGAAGGTCATACCTTGGCGAAGGAAGAGGGGTCAAGTCTGTATTTGCTGGCGACCTCAAGGCCAACAGTGTTTCCTGCCTTGGAGTCCCAAGTGGCCTTGGCACCGGCTTCAACCTGAGCATTTACGCGGTGATAGTAGCTGGCAGCGAAAAGAGTGAGGTTGTTGGTGGCGGTGATAGCGGCAGAGTACTCAGGGAGGGAGTAGGCGACGGCAGCAGAGTACTTGGTGATAGCAGCCTTTTGGACATCATAGCCACCCTCGGCACCGACCAAGAAGCCCTCATGTCCGAGGACAGCATCAAAGTTGGCAGTTGGGCCCTTGAGAAGATCGAAGAAAGCACGAGCGTGCAAGTTGGGCTGCTTGAAGTGAAGGTTCAACTTGGCACCTTTGGAGCTCGAGTATGGGAGGTATTGTGTGAGGACCTCAGCCTTAAGACCCTTGGCAATGTTGTTGTCCAACTCGAGCTTGGTGTCGAGAGCGTTGCCAGTGGTCCATGTTTGGGTAAGCGTCAATCCTGAACAAGGCCGAAACATTAGCTGAAGTTCATGACTTGATAGCGTGGTTGAAATGCGCAAGGATGTTCCAATGCGACGATTGTGTCGAACAATAGAAATATTGACTCTCGGGCTCAACCTAGGGGTGGGACGTGAAGCGCGGTTTCGATTGCGAAAGGATGAATCAAAGTTTGAAGGGGATTTACCAGTTGGCGCATCAACATATTTGGCTTCGAGCTGCAATTGTGCAATCCATCAGTATGCTTTCCAGCGTATTTATCTCAAAGATCAAACTTACCGATCCGGAGATTGGACCCTCATGAGCGGATTTGCCCTTCACGTTGAAAGTGACACCATTGGGGGCCTTTGACTTGACCTCAAGGCTGGCTATTATCCCAAAAAATTGTCAGCAATGTGCATTCCGCTTCCGATTGCGAAAAAGGGAGGCTAATGGCTTACCGGCGCTGGTGTGATAGAAATCCTTGTTCAGGAGCTATAGTTCCCCAACAGTCAGTTTTCAACGGGTTTCGCAAAGGAGTGTACGTCGCAACAAACGGGGCGGGGGGAGCAGGCTACGGACATCATTGACAGTCTTGGCGATATCGCCAAAAGCAGCTGGAGCGGCCATGGTATAGAAGATTGAGTGAGGTAAAGAAAGAGTGAGAAGAGACAGTCGGTTGGAGTTGGAGTGAGAGAACGGTGTTGTTGGGAAGTTGGAAGTCAAAGGAAAAGATCACGGGAAACGTGAACGGTCTCAATTCGGAAAAGTCAGGACATCGTGACCATCTCTCGGCTCTGATTGGTCACATCAGGTCTTGGCAGTACCGGTGGGTCGATCGTCTGTCATGTGACCTGAAATTGACAACTTCAGGAAGAGCAGAAAAGGGAAGGAAGGATGGAGGTATATTTGTTGACATTTTAAATTGGGAAACTACGAAGATGACTCGTCGCAGCTCTATTGTGCTGTCTATAAAAGGAAAACGTCCGTCTATCGGAAGCCAAACGCGATCCCAAAATCACACAGGGCAGAAAAGGCTAGGAATGAGACAAAATTCCAAAACGACTGCCGCACGCCATTGCCATAAGAAAAGACACCTTACGACGGTAATGATGGGTCATCCAGCGCCTCTTAAGCGTCTATGCATGGTTGTATTTTGCAAGGTGGGTTGAGATAGCCCTAGCATCAACGGTCAGTTAAAGGACTTCAAGAGCATTCAAGGCTTCGTACCGTCCACTCGGGTCGGTTTGTTTCGACCATGTGGGTGTCCACCGCATGACGGTGGATGCGCAGCTTGGAGGGAAGTGTTCATCGAACATCGTTCGGTACCAGTATCTGGAATGGGGTTAGCTGTCAGGAGCTCCGTATGTTAAGGTTCCATGCCGAATGACATACGCTTCTTTGGTATCGGGAATATCATCACCCCATTCGGCTTTCGGGTTCTTCATCATCTCATCCGTGACTTGACGCTCAGCATTGTCTTTCAGCGCATCAATCCATGAATAGCCGACACCATCGCTGAATTGTTCCTTCTGCCGCCACAGAATGTTATCTGGCAAGAAAGGCTTGGTCCCTGGCTCGTCAGATGTGTCAAACGCTTTTCTCAGGATATACTTTTCAATCCTCTCTTTGGTGATCATCTTCTCTTGTGGATCAACACCCATGGACACCTCCAGGAATTCCTTATCCAAAAACGGCACCCGAGCCTCAAGGCCCCACGCAGAGGTCGATTTGTTGGCTCTCAAGCAGTCCGCCAAGTGAAGATTCTTGACTCGTCTGACGGTCTCCTCGTGGAAGGCCTTCTTATCCGGAGCGGCATGGAAATAAAGGTAGCCGCCGAAAATTTCGTCACTACCTTCACCACTGAGGACCATCTTGACGCCCATTGCCTTGATCTTCCTGCTCAACAAGTACATGGGCGTGGATGCGCGGATAGTGGTCACATCGTAAGTTTCCAAGTGATAGATAACGTCTGAAAGAGCATTGAGACCATCCTCAACAGTGAATGTGAAAGCATAGTGCTTTGTTCCAAGGAAGTTGGCAACTTCAATTGCAGCCTTGGTGTCGGGCGCTCCTGGGAGGCCAATCGAAAAGGAATGCAGCTGAGGAAAGGACGTTACGGTGGATAGCTCGTTGCTGTCATCAATTCCAACCAGACCTGCACCTGTTTCTGCATTGGTAACTGTGCCGTTCTGCGCTGCCATCATCTTCTGAGTTTCTCGCTGGGCGATTGAGGCGACCAGACTAGAGTCCAAACCACCAGAAAGTAGGACACCGTAAGGGACTTCGGCCATTAATCGTTTGCGAACGGATCGTACCAAGGATTCCCGAATCAACTTATAATCAAGGGGAGCTGACGGAACATTGGTAGGGTCCCACCACTTTGGCTGGTAATAGCGAGTCATGCTGTCCGTCTTGGAATCATAGACATGGCCAGGGGGGAAAGCAATGATTTTGTCGCAAACCGGATGAAGTGACTTCAGTTCAGAGGCAAAATAGACCGCGCCCGGTGTCTGGGAGGACCATCCTTGGTAGAAACTGGTAATGCCAATCGGATCTCGGGCAGCAATCACCCGGTTCTGCTTTTTGTCGAAGAGGACCCATGAGAACATCCCATCGAGAAATTTCGGAGCGTCAATATCGTGTTCCATATACTGCGGCAAACCAAACCGAATTAGCAACGGTTCGAGCTTACTCTATAGCCATTAGCACGGGCGTATCTTACAAGTGGGATGATCACTTCGCAGTCGGAGTGCGTTTTAAAGTTGTACTTGGTCTTCAATCCCTTTCTCAGGACTCTGTGGTTATAGATCTCGCCATTGACGGCAAGGGCCAACGTCCCGTCATCGTTAACGAGAGGCTGCGCACCGGACTCTGGTCTTCAATCAGAATTTCCACCGAACGGCATCGCCCATTACATCCTGCGGGTATCTGAGGGCACTCACCGACACCGACAATACTCAATCTTTCATGTGCAAGAACTACTTCGCAGTTAGAATCTCATTGCCAGCCACACGGGACCAATTCCGTCCGGATACTAACTTGTGTCGTTGGCAATGAAGTTACCACCTGAAAATTCCGTCGCTCGTTAGCCCGACTATCTCCCACGATTCAAGCTTCACCCCCCCAGTAGCTCCGTGACAGGGATCATGATGCACTCACTCCAGTCGGGACCGCGATGCCGGACGCTGCAAGCATCCTCTTATTAGTCATTGATGCCACATGCCGTAAAGGATCCGTCGTTGACTCACGCTTTTGCCATGCGCAAAGCCGTCGGCTTGAACTTTTGAACATCGGGATGACTGCATGAGAGACGCAATGTTAGTATCTCCATTCAACAACTAAATTGCGAGCGTTGCGGCGAGCGACGCGCCTCCAATGGCGGGACATGGGGTTTTGTCGAATGCAAGGGGGCCGTAAGCATACCAATGACAGGCAAATATACCACACATGTTTGCTTTTCAACCCGCAATCTAGGAACTGATCTAAAAGGGATCGAGAAAAGAAGGACGAAAAGGAAACCAGGTAAAAAACACAGAAACGATAATGTTAAGAGGCAAAGAAGGGAATCCGAGTGGACGGGAATCCTTTTGTCCCTTTTGTAGGTTCTCCGAAGCCGGGAAGAAAAGTTTTGACTCATCCGCTAAGGTTAATTATTTTGGCTGCTTTTCTGTTCCTGCGTGGGCTGCAGGTGGCGCTGATAAGATAAGGGCTGTGGGAGCTTGGAGGGGAGAATTTTCAGCGCTTTTTTGCCGCGATGGCGAATCTGGTCCATCGACGGAGTGGATAGCTTGACGATCTACGGAGCACTTCCAGCGCAAAGGTTCTGAGAAGCTGCTTGTAATTTGCGCCTTTCAGCAGACTGTTGCATTGACTGCTCATCGGCAATCGTCGAACCTTCTTCCCCCGCACTAGTTATACTATCAGGATGATGAGATCTATCGCGTTCGTTTGGTGCGAAGACCGGTGCAAGTAGAGTCATCCAACAGTTCAATTACCAGAAATCAACTCAGAAATGGCAAGGAAGATTCAAGGGGTCTCTTGGTGCTAACTATCGCGAGAAAATCAGCCCGAAGATTGGGAGTACACAGGAGTAAGCAGCATTCTCAGGTCCCAGCAAATCCAAATCGCAGCAGCTACTCCATATCCTGCCCCAAAACGCCGCGCTCAAAACGGTAGAAATTGTGTCGCAGATCATAAACACAGCAAAAAGAAATCAGAGTTCTCGTCTGCACTCGTGTAGCGTCCGCGATTTTGACGGAAGCCCGTCTCCCTCGTAGGGACCAATGGGCTACATACCGGGATTCTCCTTCACGATTTGGCGAACCTTTTTCTCGTAGGCTGGCTTATCCTTCTTGAATAAGTTGTATGCTTCCGCTTGGGCTGGGGATTCGGGGTTCGGATCATCCAACAAGTCCTGAATGCCCAGCAGGATTTGTTTGACCGTGATTGCCGGCTTCCATGCATCTTCTTCGCTCAAGATCGAGAGGCACACGGTGCCAGACGGATAAACGTTGGGATGGAAAAGCGGTGGGACGAATTTACCTATTTTGGACGAGGACATTAGCCATGGTCACATCCCTTCCCCAGACCGGACGACGAAGCGCGGCTTGACGTACACTTGGGAGGTTTCGTAGGATATTCTAGAACTCAAAAAGCATCGATTCATCAGCCCAACAGCTCCAAACTTCCTATTATTATTGTTCTCATCTTCGAAAGGGATGAGCATACCGTCGGGGAAGATGACATCCAGCTTAAACAGCCCGCCTTCCCACATCGTCTTGGGTTTTCCAGGGATCCCGCACTCCCATCGCTTCAAGTCCAAAACACCCTGAGGGCTCCGATATGGCTTTGCATAGAACCCAAACGGATGGTCTCTGCGCCACTGTTTCCTAAGAGTCCAGGGCGCAATGCCGGTCGTTAGCAAGGTCTGGAAAACAGATAGGACGGTGCGGGCGGGGCAAACGGAGTTATCCGCCTATTTCTCCTCACCTCTCCTCCGAAAGACGATTTTGACAGAGAGTCGACATTGTATTGAATTGAGGATCGAGCTTGAGTGTATGTGAGGGTGACAGCACAAGATTGGATATTAGAGTGTAAAGGGTACTGAAGGGATAGAAATGATCGGTGATGTTATGGAGTTGTTGGAGATGATCGAAGGGAGTTTAAGAACAATCAACGGGCCATTTGTCAATCAACAACCATTCGGACACCCAAAATTGATGTACTCACAGCCTGACAGTTAAGACGGAAAAAGAAAAGAAAGAGAGAATGTTCCGCAGTTTTGTATGTCCTCTGGATCTTCAGACGAACACATTTTAACTTCAAACGTGCTGAATCCTAACAACTAGTGACGGCATCCAATTGGCTGTGTTGCCATTCTTCCCCAGATTCTTCCATCACAATACGGAACCCTGTACAGTTCTACTCCTCAGAATTTCGGCTTTAAACCCCCGGAAATGTTCCTTGGGAACGATTACTGTAGCATGGATAGGAGTCGGCGATAGGGAGTGTTTCAATAGTCCTACTTATAAAAAAGTGCGAGTAGAGGCTAGATGTTGGAAAGGAAAGGGTCGAAAGAGCTAACGACATGTTCATGACAACCTGGAGGTCCAATGCAAGGGAAGCTTTCTCATTTCAACTCCTTATTTAAAATATTCAACAGCTGCTTCGCTTTGAGGAGGGTTATCACTTTACTCAGAGTTGAGAATCTACCTAAATATACAAAATCTTAATACGGACGCACTCAAACTTCGCCTCTGATGGACTTCTCGCTGAGCCAGGGGTCTTCAAGGAGCTGCTTGGCCGTCTTCCTATCATCTGGGTCCCATTGGAGCATTTTTCTAGCAAAGTCGAGAAAAAGGAGTTTGTCCCGCCCGTCAAGAAAATTGACCGTGCTCTCCAAGGTTAAATCGCGAGGTATGAGATGATCATGCAGAAAGTTGCCTGCGACAGCTGGTGATTAGCAAAAATTGAAATATAGCGTCAAGACTCACACTGACCATCATTGTCGAAGAATGGGCCCCCGTACCATTCATAGGCTTTTGTGCAAAGCGTGCCACTCGGGTTTTTCAGCGCCGGGGCAAAATTCCATCTGCGCCCTTCCTTTTCTCGATCTAGTAATTTCTTTGGAGGTGGACCTAGCAGTGCAATCATTTCCGCAAGATGTGCGGCGGCACTGTAGCCATCACCGTTGCCCCGTATCCGAGAAAAGAGATCTCGGTTCTCAATCAAGTTCCACATCAACACACCAAGACTCCATATGTCGATAGGATATGCCCAACCAGCGCCAAGTATGACTTCTGGCGCCCGGTAGCCATCAGGCTGGGTGGGATGTCGATTCAGCTGTCCCACTGCTTGTTGAATCTGTGCTTGTCCGAAATCTGTAATCTTGGGAAGGATATAGAAAGACCTGAGAGAACCAAAGTTATTGTGGGACAAGTAAACGGCTCGACCATCCGTTGACTTGTACGGCATGGGATGTGATAGTTGTGCGTCGGCAAAGTCTTGGAGAACAGCTGGGTCCTCGAAATTCACCATAATATTATCTCCCTTGAGATCTATCAGGATTAGCAACTGTCCATGCCAGATGTAAAATGCATCCAAAACGGGAAGAAGCTTTACCTGTATGAACGACATTGCAATTGGAATGAAGATAGTCAAGGCCCTCCAGTATAAGTTTTATATAGCCTTTGAGAAGATTTAAAGACAATCGTCCCGCACGGCACCGCTGTTGAAAGAGCCAAATGGGCTCCCGAAGCGGCTCATAAACTAGGCACAGATGTGTCCCATGCGGGCCCTTTTCTTCAAAGCTGTCTAGGCACGTCCTAACGTAGTTGAACCCTTGGTGGTCGGGAAGTGCGTTGGCGATCCGCTGTTCAACGTTGCGCTCATGGAGGGCTGAATTCTTATCTTTAAAGTCACAGGTACCGATTTTCAAGGTAACAAAGCGCTCTGAACGCCATATCCTTTGCTCACGGGCGTTAGTAACGAGGGTCTAGAGAATCATGCTGAAACGCATTCACCTCTGAAGGTCTCGAGCAAGCCAGACCGTGGAGCAGGTGCCCCAGCCAACTTTAGCTATTGCTTCATATCGGTTATGAAAAATATAACCTGGCTTAGCGGGAAAAAAGGATGTTGGGTCATAGTAAGGCAGTCTTTCTTCTTCGATCGGTTCGTCCGCAGGCAGATTGGGGTCCGGGGCGTGTTTTGTATAGATAGGTTTCAAGCCGAAAAAGGACCAGAACAGCTGTTTCATCGCTGAGATCGGGCGCAAAGGCCGTTGAAGCGCCATTATGGCTTCTGATATACGAGAAACACGTCGTTGTTGAGACTGAATTAGACTGGCCCATGCTCTCGGCTCATCGTATACTTATTCTTGCACGTTAATATTTCAATCGCACCAGTTTCCAGACGTATAGACATTTGCTCGAGCTACATTCAGCTCCAGGTCGGACCCCAAACCACAGCCTCTGGTGCAACGTCGTGGTCGAGCTTTCCCTTTTGAGGCATCACGGCCGGCGCCAAGCACACCCTCCTTCAACGTCCGCCGCCAGATAGTGAACAGCGTCAAACAATCGAGGCATGCAATGCGGCACGGTAGCCATACTGACAGTGAGTGAGACCTTCCCTGACTACTGATGGTGGCGTCGTCCTCGCTTCGATCCAAGTCCAGTTATGATATTGAGAGCGATGCTGGTTTCAGGTAACTAGTTACTCCGTAATCCCGCCCCGACCCAGATTTTGATTTACATATAACTAACTAATTAGCAGACAACCTCCAACTCAACGAGTTATCAAAAAGGCATTGGCCCGAAAAACCGGCCGCCACGGGCCAGAAACATCAAAGTATTTAGAAAGATTGGCCGTTTGCTGTTCGACCTTAGGCCCAGGATGTAACACACCAGCTAGTGATGATTCCAGTCAGGCAACCTGCTTCGAAGGTATTATTATTCCCAATATGATATCAACATGCTAACATCCAATTTAGGGGCCGCCTTGCCTGGATAGTGGAACGAGTTATATCTCCCAGAGTATCGTTATTTCTTTACTTTTGAACGCTGCCAAAGCCTAGTAGTTCCTCTCCCAGCGCCGGGGAGGCATGGGGGCTATACCCGCTGAAAAAGATTAGCCTTGAACGCTGTGAGATATAAAGTCATTGGCATTATAACTTTATCGCCTGTCCCCAGCTTACTTCCGTTTCTTTTCATTGATTTCCTATCAGCTGGTGGCAACGCATCATTCGCTGGAATTATATTACCTATGCACAGTCAAGAGCATTTTATCATTGCCTAGAAGAATCTATACCATGCCAAGGGGACGATCAAGCCTTTCAGCAACTTCTCCATCCTCAAGTCCCGCTTCAACCCGGACCGAAATCAAAACAAGCTTTGCATGGCCTGGATACCCACCGCCCGCAGGCGGTGTCTCTGGAGATGCTCTTTACTCCTTTGAACCTTATCTTCTTCTGCTAGCTACCCTTCCGTTCATTACGCTACCGGTGTATGCGAGTCTGAAAAATGGGACGCCAGTGGAAGGGTACGGGCTGTTGCAACTGCAGCTGACGATGGAGATCGTAGGTTATGACCCCTGATTTTCGAATCTGTGGAGATAGGATGCTTACGGGACACCTAGGCGGTCGTGACCCTTTCCCATCACTTTCCTTGCCGTCATGGGCCGTTTGACAAGAATCGTCGCAATTTGGAACTCGGAACGTCGAATATCGCTGGGCCTTTTAGATCAGCTCCTGAGGAATCGGGGGCTTTGCAGGTTGTTTAACAGGCAGGGCCCTATTATATCGTTCAACAACTTGGCCATTGGGTTGTTTCTTCTCTGGGTATTGTCCCTGTTGAAAGACCAATTCAGCTTCCATTTGATAACAACTCTCCCGTCCTTCGTCGTTAGTTCAAGTAATGTTTTCACGTTTAATACCGAATTACCCTCTCCTTTCAGCTCGGTGAGACAGCCGCTTGCGTGGCTTGAGCCGCAATTGAATAGATTGTATATCTCTTCGTTGATGGCTCCGGCTAGCGTCAAGCATTCCCCTGTCGACCTATGGGGGAATATGAAAGTGCCCCTTATGTCACATTATACCTCTGGCCAGATTAATGGAACGGGCTGGTATAATTTTAAAGTCTCCAATGACAAGATACCATACTCCTCACTGATAGGGATACCAGCAGCAGAGATATCCCAGGAAGGGATTACGACGTTCAGCATGGAATCATCGTACTTCGACATTGACTGTTATAACTTGAGCCTCTCCTCATATATCTCACCCCAGGCAACTCTTACCACTGCTGCCAACGCGGACGGTCCAATGACTAGGGCAAAGCGTCTCCCCAAGCTCCTGAAAACACCAAAGAACACATTTTACGGCCACAATGACACCGAGTCTTCATTGGCCTTTGGCATCGACGGTTATGTTGACTGGGATTCTGGTTCTTTGGCAACGATCCGAGATTTAGGGATGTCCTCTTTCATCGGAAACGTCACCGGCAGTAAAAGGACGTTCTTTAAACAACAACAAAATTTTCTATTTGAATCTAAACTCCGCTCAGGTTTCTATCGGATAAAGAATCCCACAACCGTTGCGCATTGTAACATCAAAAAGATATACGTCGAATCTGCTGTACGATGTATTGGAAATCCTTCCCACAAGCCTCGATGCTCCATAACTGCGATGCGGGACAGTCGGCTCTCGCATCAACCCGCAGATATCACCCCTTTCCTGTTCCCAGCCGTATTTAAAGCTTTCTTTACTTCTCTCGCTCATAATAATGACGGTACTTACTCACTGACCGAAAAATACCTCAATGACACTGATACGCCGCTCCTGGTGCAGGACACTGGCATGGAATTATTCCGTCTCAGCAAGGAAACCTTTTCGCAAAGACTTACACAGTTAATCAACACCTACTATCTCGGCAGTCTATTTCCGAGCGCGATAGTAGGCGGGTTAGATGCCCAACTTCCAGTGTATACGTTGTCGATGTATACAAATGAGCCTATCACTCGTACCACGGCTGGATTGATCTCTACCCGAATGCAGGACTTGTATTGTACGAACGTCAAAGGGTTGGCTGTCTTTTTCATCATGGATGTGGCCATGTTTGCTGCCGCTGCAATCTCCTGCGTACTATCGTACTCGACCCCCACCCCTGATGCGCTGGGATACATTTCCAGTTTGACCTTGAACCCGTTACAGTCTCCCAATTCTATCAAAAGATCAATATCAGAGAAGCCAATAAAGTTAGGAAGGTGAAAATACCGCAAAGGCCAGAACATTGGATTGTTTGTGGACCGACTTTGCTGTTGAGAGCTGAGACCAAGCTATAAAGTAAAGGGCGCGTTGATCGAATTTGGAATTCACAGTTTTCACAGGCATGCTTTATATGTTCCTTTCTGGTAGAATAGCGACCCTGGTAAACTCATCACAGTACCAATTGTAACACTGCACTGGATAGGCAGAAAAAGTTACCGTCTTGTGCTTCCTGTGGACATTTTTATTCACTACTGTAGCATTAGGTAGCTAAATTCTTAATAGCAGTTTCAGGCCCATTCTCTAGGCTACCGTTGCGATATGACAAGCCAAATGCATGTCGGCCCGTTACTTGTATATTCCCTCTTCAAACTTCTCGACGTCAAAAAAACGTGCCGTAATCGTATTTCCATTGAATACACGGCCTTCGAGGGCATTCACAGCCTAAATTGATGGTCAGACAAGTTGAAATCAATGTTGCCCAGCGATGAAGCACTCACCCGCAAAGCAGATAGCTGGTTTGTAAACTTCACGAAAACGGGCACTTGGCCTTCGCTATTGCGATCGACAAATACCCTCTCCACACGACCATACTGCGCGAATCATTAGCGAAAAAGGTGCGGTAACAAGTAGTAATTTCCATACCTTTTCGCCACATTCCTCCCCGATTTCTTGAATTAGTCCACCGTCCTCTCCAGCTTCCAGCTCTGCATTCAGATCCATCCCATCCACCATCCCATGCAGCACTATAACCTCGCTCATCGCCCCAAACTTGCCCTCGTCTTGCTTCTTCTGTTTTCCGCCGATGATTTTCCCTCGTCCTGCGGGAGTGACGAAACCCCCACCCTCGGCATCAGGTCTTTTCTTTTGCTTTTCAACCTTGACCTGCAGCGGATTGATTATCCCGGTTCCGCTAGCGCCTAAACCCGATCCTTTCGTCCATCCGTACTTTGCTAGAAGACGTTCGGCAAATCCCTTTTGCCCTGGCCGGAGAGATCGGGGCGCGTCTTCTTCTGGTACTTCCTCTGTTTCCTTGGCAAAAGTGGCTTCCAGCTCCTCCTCAGTTGCAGGTATGTCTTCTGGAGCAGGGGGCAAAGTATAGCGAACAGGTGCACGCGAAATTGTTGCGGCGGAGTATACTTCTTTGGGCGTCGGCACAGAGGGTATGTCTTCAGGTGGAGGTGGTGGCGGGGGAAGGGAAGGAGGTTGCACTGGTGCCATACTTGGTTCCTGACCCGTATTCTGACTTAGCCGAAGGCGCCGCGCAAATGCATCTTCACCGGTTTGATCATCCGGGAGAGGCGCCGCAGGTGGTGGAGCAACTTCAGTGACTGGAGAATTGGGCGCAGATGGTTGGCGGGGTATGTCGTTGAGATTAGGTGGGGGCGCAAACTGTTTTGGCGGCGCAAATTGCTCTAATAGAGGCGTCAGCAAAACATTGATTACCCAGCCGAACAAATTGACGCGTGAAAGAGAAAGCCGAGACGAACTGTTCATAGGTCTCCTTCGATACTCGTCGTCGCTTTCGACCTCGCTACTCGTTCTCCTTGCCATCCGGTGAGCATATAAGCGATCTTTCCATTCTCTAACTTCCCTTATCTTCTCTTCGCTATGCCTATAGGCATCGTAGCTGTTTGGGCGGGAAGGATCATAGATATCGTCCCAATTGTAAACCACCTCCGCATCCCGGTTTTTCTTGCGCCTTTTTCGGCCGCCACGCTGTCGTTTCTCCCCATAGAATCCATTGATGTCATCGTCCTCCGCTGTTGCAGCCCAATCCGCAAGGGTAGTTTTGGCCGGAGGTCGGATTGTATCTGCTGCCGGGCCCGATGTCGTACTGTGGTTTGCTGGACTTGTCGCCGCAGAGACCACAGGAGGCTTGGGTATGGCGGGCTTCGCTTTGAGTTTTTGAGAGGGTAATTGAGGCCTCTTGGTGGGTTGAAATCGTAAAGAGGCTGTAATGTTGGATAGAAACGGAACAAACCCAAGGTAACAAGTGAGCAAACCAAATCCGCCAACAAAGTTTCACGTTGTGATTGAACGGGCGATGGGAGGGGTAGATAGTCTACCAGCACTTATCTGCTGCTTCTTTGAAGCTGCGTCATCTTCTTGAGAGCCACCATCGGCGGCCTGCTTGAACACCACCGGCGCGCGAGAGATGGTATTGGAGCCGGAGGAAGCATCGGAGGGATCAAGGAGGTTAGCGTAAAGAGATAGCCCGCTCTTGGGGCCAGTGGGCGGAGCAGCCATATTGGCAACAGCAACGAAAGAAAGACTCTGCTAACAGCGCATCGTGCGATATCACATCGTTCCTCGAATGGCCGCTTTTGGCGTTGAGGACTATCACGTGCCTGTTTGCAGTGTTTGCCCTCGCTCCCGACGTCATCCGGCTATTCCTCGCTTGGGGCCAATCTGCGGCACTTCTGCGACCGACGATGAATGCATGATGATGGAGGGAAATTGATATTGAACTCGCGTGTGACAGTCTTTGTTGTAAATATTTTCTCCCCTTTCTCTTGCACATATCTCTCCTTTCTTAGCCCTGCTTCTTTCTTTTTCTTTACTATTGACCCCAATTGTGAGCGTCCATTCCCACCATGTCTACTTTGGCAAACTCCTTTTCTCGCAAAGCCGAGAGCACTGCTATCATCATTCCGGGCAAGCCAGACCCATTAACCGTTAGCTATGAGCGGCTACATGCCGATATCGTCTCCTTCCAGGAAAAACTGGCCCGTTTGGGAATTACCCACAGTTCCGCGGTCTCCAGTGCACTCCCAAACTCGTACGAATTCGTCGTCTCCTTTCTGGCTACTTCATGGCAGAGAGCCATTGCAGCGCCTTTGAATCCGGCCTATAAGCAAGATGAATTCGAGTTCTATATCGATGATTTGAGCTCGGCGCTGGCGCTTGTTCCGAAAGGCTCGTATAGCCAGAATGGCCCTGCTGTCCGAGCTGCAAGGAAGTATAATGCTGCCATTGCGGAGTGCTATTGGAATGGCAGGGAGGTCGTTCTAGATGTAAAGGAGCGTGGAAAATTGGATGGAAAAGGGAATCAGAAGGTTCAAACGGCGCAACCGGATGATATTGCCCTGGTTTTACACACTAGCGGCACGACGGGTAGGCCAAAGGCTGTCAGTTGTACTGTGGCTCTTTGAGATGGCGATCTGTGCTGATTCCTTCTCTTTAGGTGCCTCTTACCCATAGAAATTTGACAAGGACAATGAGTGAGTGTATGAACAGTAGCTAGTTCCAACTCAAAGCTTACCGTCTCCTAGAAAATATTCAAGCCACCTACTCCTTGACCGAGAAGGATCGAACCCTTCTTGTAATGCCCCTTTTCCACGTCCATGGATTGTTAGCAGCTTTCCTTGCACCTCTTCTATCCGGCGGTTCCGCCGTTGTTCCGCTCAAATTCTCCGCCTCTGAATTCTGGCACGATTTCACTACCTACAAAGCAAACTGGTACACTGCCGTCCCAACGATTCACCAAATATTGTTGAAAAATCCCCTTCCGTCACCCCTCCCGGCGATCCGATTTATCCGGTCTTGCTCCTCTCCCCTTTCGCCAAAGACATTCCACGATCTCGAAAAAGCGCTCCAGGCGCCCGTGCTTGAGGCCTATGCAATGACGGAAGCAGCTCATCAAATGACAAGTAACCCACTTCCACCAGGCAAGCGTATTCCAGGCAGCGTGGGAATTGGCCAAGGCGTCGACGTCAGAATCCTCGACCTGGAAGGCAACGAAGTCGCACAAGGCTCAGAGGGGGAAATTTGTATCCGCGGTGAAAACGTCACTAAGGGATATCTCAACAACCCTTCTGCCAACAAGTCATCATTCACCAAAGACGGATTCTTCCGTACCGGCGATCAGGGAAAGAAAGACAAGGACGGATACGTTTACATCACTGGACGTATCAAGGAGCTCATCAACAAGGGTGGGGAGAAAATCAGCCCCATCGAGCTGGACAATGTTATCATGCAGAATCCCCACGTCGCGGAGGCAGTGTCCTTTGCGATACCTGATCAGATCTACGGGGAGGATATCGGTGTAGCCGTCGTGCTCAAAAAGAAGGGGAGTATCTCTGATAACGGACTAAAGGCAGAGATTTCGCCCAAGGTTGCAAAATTCAAGTTGCCCAAAAAGGTAGATGTCCTTCCGTCCAGATAAGTGGGAATCCCAAAGCTAAGATATCCGAAACCACATAGATTTGGATACTCCCGGAAATCCCCAAAACCGCCACAGGTCAGTTAGAAGAGAACCGGCATTGAAATTCACTATAACTAATACGGCTCTCAAAACATAGGCAAAATCCAACGCCGCAAGGTTGCTGAAGCAATGCTCAAGAAAGAAGCTCCTGCGCCAAAACTTTGAGTGTATTTCTGTTATTTGTGAGATGCCGAAGAATATTGATAGAATATTCCTTCCCGTGTAATGGGAAGCCAGCATTGACGTGTAAATTAGTAAGTGGCATTTATTTGTTCTTGGGCAGGATATTTAGAGTCCGCCATTGTTTGCGCACTTACAATGTAGTATGCAGTGATATTTACTTGCAGTTTGGCTGAAAAAGTCTAAAAACAATATCCTGTGGGCAATAAAACATTTTATGGAAAAGATCCTTTATTTAGAATCACATGTGAATATATGATACATTGACTATAATATAAGGAGTTTCATAGTATTTTGATCTTTGAAATACATCCCAAACACGTTCTGCTGGTTACAAAACCAAGCTGTGCTGTCTTATACCTTTTCATAGACGTTAAGGGCGCATCGGAACTAGATTCACACAGGAGTCATCAGCATGGACTTTCCTGCCATTTGACTCACATTCTTTCAATCGGAAATGAAATCATCCAGGGTTGCTCATCAAACCTACCGGGTAAGTTTGCATCTATCAAAAAGCAAAATCAGCATTGCAGTCACATGGCCAGAGAAAATGGGACAAGGGCATACATTATCCAAATCCCATATTCCAGCCGTAGCATAGATATCCTTGGACAGAGTCTCGCGGATCTCCTCCAGAGAGTCCGCCTGGACGATCAGCGCGCTTCCCTTCATAGGTGGCGCTTCACCTTCCTTTGGATGATGGTCGAGGACGGCACCTGAAAGAAAAGTTAGCCCGCGGCACAGTCGTCGATTTGGAAACAAAGTAGGCAGTCAGACCTCCGAGTTTCAAAAAGCCAGACTCGATGGCGGGCCCCAAATTGTCAATATGAGTCCTGCGGAGAGAAAGATGTCAACCACATCGGGAATAAGCAGCCAGACCAGAAAAGACTGAGATCTGGGATCTAGGGCGGATGCCAGGGTGGCTTGTAGGTAAATCCTACAAGAATTGCCAAAGGAATTCGAGTCCCTAGCACCTTGACAAACATGGATAATGGTGTTTATATGCCCATATTCACAATCAAACAAGAAAACACTTTTAACTTACTGCCTCACGCTCATCCTCTTGTCCAGCGTCACACCGGCCTTATCCGGCACAACCACAATCCACTCCGGCTTCTTCTGCGCCGCGTTGCTCGCCATGGTCCTCGACACCAGATTGGAATTGTTATAGTTGATGGCACTCAGGGGCAATTGCGATGGCCTGGTAGACTGGCGGAGCGTAGGGATGATGGGGAGCAATAAAGACCTGGACGATGGGCGCAAGACGTGACGCTGGGCTGAGCGGCAAGAACCGGCGAGGAGCGGCGAAAGGGACATGGTGGGGTCGAGTGGGAGATTGGGTCGCGCGAAGCGGGGGAGAAGGGCTGTGTGTGTCTGGATATATAATAAGACCGCAAGCAGGTGGGATAGCGTGTGTGTGGGCGCTGGGGAAGAGACCGGGGAGACTACGGTCGCTCTGTGGAGAGCGCAACTCGTATATTTATGGCCTTTCTTTTCGTCCCCGCAGCCTGCGCCCTACTGTTGACATGCTCTGTTTCTGGCCGGGGATCAAAGATTAAAAGCAAATGTTACTGAGCCGTGTCAATTTTCGAACGTTGTGCGGAGGTGACAAAATGCCTGGTACTATGAATTGCTTCTATCTATCAAAGCTTTTCTTTAATCTCTTGAAGAAAAGGAAGAAAATTCCATCGAGTCCACACCCATTGAAGGCCTGTCAAACTGATTCCTTCATACATCATTACGCCTCCCAACAGCGTACAGCATACGCAAAATGATAATTAAAGACCGGAAAACCTGCCCCGTGGTTCATCCTCACAGCAACGGGAAAAGGGGTTTAGAAACAAACAAGAGCGGAAAGCAATCTGTTTTCCGGGAGATTAATGGAAACGGAGTAACAATACACATTGAAAGCAAGGGGTCAAACTCCTGGAGTCCTAGACAATTCGAAGCAGATTCTTGGAAGTGAAGAAGAGCGAGCAGGAAAAAAAAGAACACTACATATCAATAAAGAGTCGAGGGGCAGCAGAATGGCCACCCTGCGGATCCCAAAATTGGGGGGAAGAAGACAGCAAGAAACAGACCTTGCATATGAATAAGTAACAAATGCTCCAAAAAAAAAGGTAAAGAACAGAATATAACATACAGAATACATCAGGGAGAACAATAAATAGAAACCCTGTCCCTTGATTCCCAAGCGCCATTGGAATTTTGAATAGAAAAGGCGGTGATGTAGAGGCACTCCTGAGCCAAACAAGAAGAGCCAGTTTTGAAGCGGGTCTAAGGAGAAGAAGAAAAACACCCCGAATGGGACCAAAAACGGCCCGAGAACTCCGTGATGCGATGTTTAGTGGATAAAGTCAGTGCGGGTTCGGGCTTGCAGAGCTTGGGGGGTCATTAATAGCATCGTTTGTTTCATTTCTTTTCGGTAACAACGCAGTGTTGCTGGGACGTGTGTAGTGGAGCCGCTCTATTAGGTCGAGCGAACGAGTCTTTGCAACGAAGCGCTTGCACTGAACGCAAGATCAAATCAATAGGCCTTGCGGCCGCCGAGATTGCCACCTTTCTCTTCAGTGTCAATGTGCCAGACGACGTAATTGGGAAGTCCCACGACTTGATAACCTGCTCGTTTCGCCATTTTCGCAAAGCCCTCTGTTTCGGCCTGGTTTTCAAATGCATAGCAGGGGAAGTTGATACCTAACAGAGTCAGCCAAGACGCATTCAGCACGAGAATTGAATCAATAACCAACCTGCTCTGTGAACATCCGCCTTGACGATAATGTTAACGCCGCCAATGCCATCCAGCTCAACTTCTTCATCTTTATTCTTTCTCCAGTCACCCATTGAGACAAGGTATGTCCGTCCAGTATCAAATTCTTTGTAGCCCTCCACGAGAATGGTGTCCTTGTCAAGTGTGGAAGCCAGCTTTCTCGCCTTGTCGGATTCAATCCATGAGTTGTAATCAACTAGACATCCATTAGTTTTGACACGCAAAAAAGAAGCGCCATACATCGAGGAATGACGTACATCTACCTTCGATATCCCGCCCATGCTCATCATATCGGTGGAACCAGATATCTGCAAACTATGTTAGACGTTTTTTGGACATCTGTCGCAAACGGTACATACTTGGAACGAGAATGTCCTTGTCATGAGCCACGAAATCCTCAATGATCTTCTTCGGGCTGTCCACGATATCGACATCACGCCAATACACCCAAGAATGCTCCGGCTTAAGAGCAGCAGAGAGAAGGAAATTTCGAGCTTTCCCCATCGCTTTCCGTCTGGGTGCTTGGGCTTCATAGCCGTGCTTTTCCTCAATTTCCATCTTCATTGTGACCCCGAAGTTCTTCTGGACAATCATTGCGCTTCGGAACGGAATCTTTCCTCCCATCCTTTGAACCCGATCCAGTTCAGCTGACAAGACTGCCAAAGTGTCATCTTTGGAATCGCCGACGAGGAAGGCTAGATCGATAAGTTCGTGAGGATAGGTCAATTCAGAGATGAGATCAAAATATTTGCCTAGGTACTGCGAGGCATCTCGAAGAGGAGTGAGAATGAGGATCCGTTCCTTGTTTTGAAGAGCTTTGGGAGTCGAATGAACAGTGTTAAGATCAACTGTTTGAATAGTGCTTGAGTTGACCTCGTAGGGTTCATGGTGGTTGAACAACACAGGCGTCTGCATATGGGCATGCCAGTCAACCATTTCGTTGGCAGTCATTCTATGTGGAGGTTTCGACGGTCCGAAACAATAGAAGCTATCGATTACCGCAATAGGTCAGCATGTATTATTCAATTCCGGCGACAATGGCTCGCCTTCCATACCTCTGCATCTCCGACGCCGAATGACTGATACCTCTCCACAGCAACATTACCAATCCCAGAAGCGCGGCGGTGAGTATAAATCGGGGCTTTGACAGAAGGCTCAATACCGCCCTCCATGGGGGAAGCTTGGCCTGTGTGGACTTCCACGTCATCCCGCCCTTTGGAAGTAACATTGTATCGATTGTAACGAAAAGATCAGCTCAAAAGTCTTCTGCCGGACAAATCGGATCGTCCCCCTGGATGTAGCTCTAGACACAAAATCCTTATTTCACTTCGTTCTTTAATTTCTTTCGGGAATTCGTTGAGGGAAAAGAGAAGGACGTCAGGGATGAGGGAGCCCGTTAATCTATCCGTTTCGACCAAAAAAGGCGCCAGATGCTCCCCTCAGCACGTTATCGTGACGAAAAGAAGAAAGCTATCTTTTCTCCCTTTCTCTCAGGCGCAATTCGTTTGACGGGGGGGAGAAATCAGAGATTCGTCTATGGCGTTGCGGTTGGTAGGGGCTATGCTGAAGCTCCTGCGTCTGGGTGAGATTGTTATCGAAATCGCCCCCAGCCCAGCGGCGGAACCAATTCGATGGAAAAGAGCAAAACGAATGACAAGACAGTGGACTGAAATGGGGGTGTTGTTCGGGGGTTCCCTTTGACCACGGATCGAGACGGGCGCTGGGAGGTTGTTGCTTGTGTGGATGATGTCGAGAAATTTTGGGCGAGTCAGCACCTATCAATTGGCCAGACCTGTTCAGGAGAAGAGCTCGTCACGTGGCAGCTGCCAAGTCTAGACTGCACCCCAAGAAATGCGCTGCACGACAGACGCATTAAGCAGGTGGATTTGCAGATATTCAACTGTCTGTGCCCTTGAAGCAAAGAGATTTGATAGAGTACGTGCAGTATTTTTACGATGAAGGATACTTGATACTGAAACTGAAAACCCCATTGAACCCGAGTAGAAGATCTATGTGGGAAAAGAGTGGAAAGACAAGTAGCTAGCGAGTTGAACTTCAATTTACGGAAACAGCTAAAGCAGATTGAGTATCGTAACACCTGCGCCTCCCTGCGTCGATTGCAAATACTTGGAATGTGGACTCGAATAGTGCAACACAGTGGAGGACAGTGTGTCAAAAAAAAATGCTCGATTATTACCATCAATGAATACCGAATACACGTGCAGAACACATTTGGGAACCTTTTAAAAAATGAAACAACTCGACGGAATGTTACAGTAGCAAGAAACAAGCGAGGAAATTCATCACGTCAAGGTTCTCACAGCGCCGCGCGGATAACGGCTCCAATAAGAGCCAGGATTGTCATGCCGCTTGGGGGAACATAGCCAGAGAGGGCCGCACCAGAGGACCTGCTTGGGTTGGAGCCAGTGGAGGTAGGGTTGCGGGTTTGAGGATCATCCACATCACCGAGACAGGTGAATGTTCCGCGGACGTTTGGCTTCACGTTTTCCTTGATGGGATCGCAGTTGAGTTTGCCAGAGCTTTGCATGTTGAATTGACCACGGACTTCTTTCAATTCTGGAAGTTCGACCCTACAAGATCAAAGAGTTCAGTTTTTTCCTTTGTGCTTCATTGGATAGTAAAAGATTGGGGCAACGTACTCAGAGAAGTTACCAGTAAAGTCCAAAGCACCAGTGATGGTCTTCAATTTGGGAACCTCAGTAACCGACTTGAGGTTGGTGTTGTTGGCAATCTGGAAGGCACCTCGCACGGTTTCCAATTGGGGAAAGGAGATGTTAGCCAACATCGAGTTATCGTTGATGACGAGGTCGCCGGTAGTAGTCAAGTTGGGAGCGGCAAAGTCTTCAAAGTAGTTGGAGTAAAATCCGATCAGGCCGGTGGTTTTCTTGAGAGAGGGGAGAGAAACGTCGCTGGCATTGCGGAAAGTCATGTTCAAAGCATTCTCGAGATTGGGGAACTTGATCTTGAGGTCCCTGTGGTTGGCAGAGAAGCTCACAAAACCAGTGGCATTGGTGATCTTGTTGACGTTAACCTCAGTAAGGTGAGGGTTGTTGCTAACGTCGAAGTCTCCAACAGTCTCCAAATCGATACCATTGAGGTTGACGAGATCGGTATTGGTAATGCGAACGCTGCCAGCTTTGGTAACTCCTTTGGTGAAGCTAAGTTGCTGGAGTCGCGGAAGGGCTTCGAAGTTGATGCTGTCAACTTCAGTGAGGGCATCGAACTTGAGGGTAGCCAAGGTGGTGAGGCCACTGAGCATGAACGCATCTTCGATTTTAGCCAGCTTTGCAGCACTGAGCTCAGTCATGTTCACGGCACCCTTGCAGGTAAGCTTTCCGGTGATGCGTTCGACGCCATCGATCGAGATTGTTCCGGAAACTCTGGACGAGATTTCAAGGTCACCATCGATAGTCTTGCAAGAAGCAAGGCCATCGGCGTCGCCCTGATTCTGAATGGTTTGGCCGTCGCAGTCAGCAGCAGCAGCCATGCCAGCGATGGCCAGGGCTGGGAGGAGGAATTTCATGATAGCCATTTGCAGTCAAGGTATTCTAATGGGACTATGAGGAGAGACGACGGGTCAGTTTCAATAGCAATCGGTATATGCAAGTTCAGAATCAGAGTCGAGGGGTTGCAGGTGTTACTAATGGCAATTGTTGTTTGGAAATTGTTTGTGTACAGGGCGAAACAGGTGGAATGTTTTGTACCACCCCACGGGAAAAAAACAAATTGATTGACAGAGGACTGGGTAACAGAAAGGGAAAGGATTGACTGAATGAATGGTGCGGCAAGTTTTGGGGGAGTATCGACATACAGGAGTTGGCGGTTCTATTAAAAGGCGATACCTGCAAGAAAGCGTTGGTAAGCGGCGAAAGAGAAGAGATTCGGGCAGAGAGTGTTTGGACGAAGCGAAGATGGATGTTGAGCGACGCGTTGAAAAGCGCTTTGGGGGAGAGAGAGAGAGAGGGAGCTTGGTGCGGTTGTTGTGTGTCTTGAGTCAGTGGTGCGAGGGTTGGTTTACCTGTGAAATGAAGGAGCAACGAGTGACGTGGAAGCCACAGCAAAATATTAAGAAGGAGTAATACAGCTGGTTGGACGACCCAAGGAAGACAGCCAAAAGAGCGAACGAGCCAGGCTTCCTCTCCGATCGAGTTCGATGACAGCAAAGCGAGAGAATGAGAAGCGAAAGTGAGGAATTGCTGGGAGAAAAAGAGTGAAGATAACCCAATCCAGAGCGGAGAATAGGAGAAAGATGGATTAATTACAGGCACAGGCCAAGTTTGCGGCGATACATACAGGGGTCCCGCCCATCCATTACGCCGGCGACGCCCAAAACTTGGAAACTTGCAGCGAAAATCAGGGCGAGCCTGTGTTTCTCAGTGGTCCAGCTTGTCTCATCCAAGCGGGCTCAGACAGCCAACGACGGCCAGTTTTGGTGGATCAGGCACCGGCGCGAACTTTGTGCCGGGCTTGCGGGGCGTTTATTGGCTGCATTCTCAGCGACAGATAAATCCAGTTTTTCCATTGGCTGATTTCATACATACGATCCTGTATTGTCGGCAGTAAGGACTAAAGCGGTTAGCGGGTGATCACATGTGTTTTCCCAGCAGCCACCATTACATAATCAATCTGTCATCAACTCTGGAATCCTTCCAACTCTGCCCGTACTCCATACAGACTCCAGAGTCATGTTTCAACAACTAATCTGACAAAGGGCCTTTGTGTCATGGGATAGCAATTTGCTTCTTCTACGGGACCCGTGGCTTTAACCATTCTTTAACCTGAGGCCCGATCTTGGACCGGGGTCCAACTGCAGCGACAACAGTGAATATCGCAGTCCTTCACTTATCCGCTTATCTACGCATGATAAATAGCTTTATCCGCGCATACTGTGAATATATCAAGTTGACTAGGGGTCAGTTAGCCAATCCTTTCACCGTCATTCCAATTTCAATGAAATATAACTCACCTCAGCGATGGCGATGAGATCAACCAGCCATTCAATGCTGTGAATACCTTGATTCAGTCTCTGTACTCTTGAATCCATTTTAATCAGGAATATACTTATCAAATCAAAACATTTTCATAGCTCCCCAACATATTGGGCTAGGAGCTCGGTGAGAATCACGAGGGCCGTCTACTCCCTGGGCCTGGTTCTTCCAGCAAATGACTAGCAATATACAATTAAGATACTTTACCAGTGCGAGGATACATTTTTAACATGTATCTGACCTCAAAGGAACGACTATACTACGCTCAGAGGAGCAAATCCGAGCTCTTGCTAGATGTCGGCGCGCGTTTGAATATGGACAGCTACTCGGCCCCCTGACATACAACTCCTTCACTATATCTCAGACTCTGAGTCTAAGGCCATGCGTAGCGCCTATCTTTTCTGCCGACCAGGATAGAAAATTCATCGCGGATTTAACGAAATTCATGGGAGTTTAATTGAGGTTAGGATTTCTTCATCCCACAGCGGGGAGCAAGCATGTTCACAATGAGTTGAGAGTTGAAGCCAGTCTTGCGGCTCCGCCAGCTAGCAATGCTTGTTTCATTATACGGACAGCATCTAATTCTTATGATCCCCTGTCTCGTTGGCTCCTATCGGAGTCAAGACGGGAATATTAGTCACTGTCTTGTCCAAATAATATGTAACCCGGTCTGTCTACTATTGTCGAGTTCTAGGCTACCATTGCTACTCCCAAAAGTCCGGAAATCTTGATGTAGTGCGCACCACAACTACTACCTAAAAGAGGGGCTAATAGAGGCGCAGCTTCCATATAATCGGGACGAACCCCCGCGAAACTGAGACCTTGAGGCCTGACTTTCCGCTGATCTCGTTGCAGTAAGCTGCTATACCCGTCAGTCGTTTTCCCTGTGTTTCTACATTCTGGCTGACAGCATTCCAACACTATGCCGGTCACTATCCGCCCGTCTAGCCAACCGCTTGCAAAGCATATCACCGACCGGTTGAATACTCCCCACGATGTGCTTAAGACCCTTTTCAGTGGCACCCGCATGAAGGAATGCGATGAAATTCTACAGAGCTCCTTTGCTGTGTCCAGTTCTTCTAGGGGAGCCATCTCAACTAACCTCACGCATACCCATGTCCATGGGGTTGAGTTGAACAATGCCCTCGTGGGCGCCGCTGTACGCGCATACAACAATCACCACCATCTTATTATACGACCAGATGACGTCTGGATCTCGATCCTCACACAGTTCAACCTATATGTAAACGCTAATGCGGAAGAACTCCGATCGAAATTTGTCGCCCATGAAGGGAAAAAAGAATTGATTGTCAACGCCGTAGGCACTCGTTACACGATCGATTTCGGGGACATGGCCCAACAAATGACGCAGCTTATGGAACAACACATTGTTGATTCGGACCTGCGCAGTTGGATCATGGCCGACTTTACAACGACGACGGCCGTGGACAAGGTTGTTTTTGCTATCACGATGATGTCCACATTACAGAAGTACTTTGACTATGGATTTTGCTTAACCTGCAACCTACCCGCTATTACCCTGCTGGGAGAGAAAAGCGACTGGGAATGCTTGCTTACCAAGATCGACAAACTCCTGGATTACAGCAAGCAAACAAGGGATTGGCACGCATTGCTGAAGCCAGTCCTAAAGAGATTCGTGGAGACATTTGAACAGCCCGAGTCGAAGTCCACGGCGACATTCTGGAATCGAATCGTCCATTATGTTGACGGCGGGAGTGGGTCCCCCTACATCTGCGGGTGGATTACTGCATTTTGTGCATTTAATAACGACGGGAAGCCTTTGTTTGGCGGCCCAGTGGACCCTGACCGTATCCTAGTACTTGACGGCGTGCAATACCCTTGTGTAGATACCGACGACATCCCCTCCAGTTACTGTTCAGTGCCTGTGAAACTTATCGACAATAATAAAGAATTCAGCACTGTCATGGTTGCTGGCGCGCTGGCCACCAAAACCATGGACAGCAAAGATGTTTCACCGGACCTTGATGGGACACAGGACTCAATCCAGCCAATTTCCGGATGGATCATGTATGCGAAGCCTCCTGCGAACAAGAAATAAAGCCACGGTCGAGAAGGCAACCCGGCTCGCTGGGAAAATCAAATCATCACAGACAATCATGCATAATGGTGCTGTTTTGGACACCTGCTGGAACCAAGTGAACCAATTTGATATATTTCTTACTCCCTTGAAATACTTGCACTATGGGACATGGCTTTGATGTTATTCTTAATTAGCAATTAGTGTTCATTTGGAATATGAAATCGTCCACTCGCTCTTCTCATTGTCTTCAAAGGTCTACCTAACCATATTGCTATATTTTATCCATCAGCAAAGAGGGAGGGAAGATTCCAAGCCTCAAGTTCCTTCATTTGAATGCGGCGAATTCTCTTCAATTCTCTTCAGAAGTTATGTCAAGAGATGGTGGATTGCCAAGAGGCTGAGGAATGGAATGGTGAAGCTAAAACATAGAAGCCTCCATACCATACTGGCATAGTTACACCTCTCTTCAGATTTAAGACACAGGATGATGTTAGCAGCAATACTCAGGTTTCGACTACTGCCCTATTTCCGTCAATCTCATACAGTGCGTACGACAGTTCTTATATTTGAATGATCGCCTACTCACCTAGACTTTTTGCCAACAAGTTCCAAAATATAGATACTGCGCTTTACTAGCATTTGTCGTGAATTCCGGCCCCCGGACATCAGGATACCACCTTCATCGAGCCTTGATTTCGTATATGTGCCCGAGGATGGAGTAGAAGACTTGGAAGGCTATTGTCCAGGAGGGTATCATCCAACACATATCTATGATGAGTTTTGCAGAGGCAGATATCAGATTATTCACAAACTAGGCTACGGCTCCTATTCCACTGTTTGGCTCGCTCATGATCGTGAAAAGAACCGTCATGTTTCGTTGAAAATCATCACTGCCAAGGCCTCAAAGAACAATTCCGAGTCTGAGATTCTGCGGCATCTCCAGAGTAGAGATGTCTGTCATTCGGGCCGTGAATATGTCATCTCCTTGCTAGATGAGTTTTCGTTTGATGGGCCTAATGGGCATCACACATGCCTGGTGACTGATGCCGCTGGATGCAGTATTGCGAAATTGAAAGAGAATAGTCCGGACTTCATGTTTCCTTTAACTAGTGCACAAGCCATTGCTGCTAGAGTTGTTATGGGTCTTGCCTATTTGCATTCCAAAGGAATCGCTCACGGAGGTGTGCTATTTTGTCTACTGATTAATGACTTTTTTGCTGACAAGTTACTACCTTAGATCTGCACTGTGGCAATATTCTTCTTCAGACCGTCGACTTTAATGCTTTAAGCACAGAACAGATACATGACCGATTTGGAATACCATTTAAGATGCCTATTACTCGTACGGATAGGCCCCTACCGGGCCAGAAGCCCCTATCTACGCCGTTGTACCGATGAGTCTGATGATCCCAAGTGATAAGGTCGTGGACTGCAAAATCAAGATTATTGATTTTGGCACTGCGTTCTTTTTTGATAAACCGCCAAAGGAACTATATACACCGAATATTCTTCTTCCTCCCGAGGGATTGTTCCATGAAACCATTACATCGGCCGCTGACTTATGGACCCTTGGCTGCATTCTCTATGAGATCCTGGGTGAACGACCTCTCTTCGAGACAGTATTCGGAGATCCGGACGATGTGATTGTGGAAATGGTAAGCACTTTTGGGAAATTACCCGAACGATGGTGGCGAGGCTGGGAAAATAAGCCAAAATTCTTTGATGAATACCGGAATTGGAATTCAGGCATTCAGGCATTCAGACACCTGGATTTAGGCCATTTACCCAGCGACTTTGGGATATGGGGAGAGGAGAAGCACCAGCAACATGTCAGTTTGGTGAAAAAGAGAGAGATAGTCTGAAGAGTCTACTCTTGGCTATGTTAGTTTATGAGCCTAGTCGCCGTATATCGGCGGGGGACGCGATGAACCATAACTACATGGTCGATTGGCACTTCCCGCACTGCAGAGTAATTGAAGTCTCTCAAATGCGAAGAATCAGGTCCAACAAGGGTGGGCCTTGGGGATGACTTGAAGTTTCTCTATTGTTAATTGGCTAGGATGTCTCCGGTTTCGACTAGGCAAGCTGTATCAGTGATATTGATAACTTTTTTTATATTTCAGACATGACATATTCTTATAATCTGCAAAATTCCATTCCCCATCGGACCACACATGTTTTTATGCCTAGTTTGTGTCACCGTTCTCAAGCCATAATCTGCAAGTTTGGGAGATAGTTTATCTATTTCTACCTTGGCTACACATATGTGGTCTGATGCTCAAATCCAGGGAGGGTTTCCTCCCCCTTCAGCTCATTCTTCCTCTTATTATTTCAATGCAATTAGATACATCATAGCAACTGCTTAATACAATTGCATTCTGTCTATCACTGGTGCAGAAAAGTCTTGCTCCCCTCTTGGCAATGCAAGCGTCATGTTACCTTTTGGGGACTTCCCCTATTCCACTAAATGATTCCTAATTGGCTTCCTTGACAGAGATGCCAATTCATATCAAAAGCAGGGACACAAAGTGAAAAATCAGCAAATTCCCTCAATCCATGGCGTGATTCGTCGAGCTGCAAGGATTTGGCATGTGTTTGGGACAGTCAGACCGTGGTGTCCTTGGCCAGCTACGCTGTTCCAGCCGCGGCTCGCGCCAGTCTTGATATATTCGGCGTAGAAAGTCGGAAACGGTCTCGTAATCTCTTGGTTTGTGGAGCAGGCTTGCATTTTGGCAGACGCAGCAGCGGCTGGGTTCTTTGCATAACTACTCCGTAGTTAAATAAAAAAAGGCATGAATAGAAGCTCTACTTCATCCAGCTTCACATAGGGAAAGAATAAAGAAGAAAAGAGAAGAGAAAATAAGACAAATCTGCCCTGCTAGCTAGAAACATCTGAATGCTTCTATGCGGGGTGTATCTTATCCCGGAATAGCTCGTTTTTTTTTTTTTATTTGAACCGCCCGAGACGATGCTCCGTTGTACTCCGTACGGAAGAGCGAGAACTTGCCATTGCTTTGAATGATGGGCGAGCAAGTGGGATGGTCAAACAACGAGGAAGATGGGATAAGTTAATAATAACTGACTAGCCAGCAGCTAGTATCATGGGAAAGCTGCGAATACGAAACAAGCGCCCTCGCCCATCGCTTGACGGGGATCTCCAGCTAGCAAGATGGAAACTGCCAGATTTGCCGCATCCAGATGCCCGAACTTCGATATATCAACAAGGGAATTGGGCCTTCCGTCCGCACTTTGAATGACATACCTCATCACAAAAAGTACGAGATACTTGTCTTTCTCTGCAACAATGGCACCACGAAGGTCGGCCCGTATCAGCACTGCATTGCAGAAATCAACAGACAAAAGCACCGAACAGGATCGGGTAACGAGCAAGGCTCTCAGCAGCCGAAGCCGGGAAAACCGAGTCGCCAAACCCACCGCTTCAAAGAAAGCTACTACATCAACCGTCAACAAAACCTCGCGGGCGGGGAAGAAATCAGCCGAAGACCGGCCTTCGAAGACCACTCAAGCTCCCATCCCCATTGCTCCGTCCACTCCAAATAAAAGCACCCGCAGATCGAACCAGCATGAAACTCCCGCGTTTCCATCCACTCCTCCACCACCATTGCCAGATTTCAAGCGCGGTGCAGCCATCTCCGCACCTCCAGACCTCAATCGACCAGTCGATCCGCATCGCACAAACGCAACCCTCGTCACCCCCCACGGAACACACTTAACCGCCTATCCACGCACGCTCGAGGAGGCATCCCCGTCGAAAACAGGTCTACCGCGTCCTACGGCAACCACGGGGAATATCCTCGAGCACGGTCTCTCGCACCTTTTGAGAGTCGGCCCCAGATTGAGTGCTGTGATTGAGAAATACCCATCCCCGCCCTTTTCAGCATCTGATCTGGCAGAGGAAGTCGACCCGTTCCAGGCGCTCTCGAGTGGGATTATCGGGCAGCAGGTTTCAGGTGCAGCGGCCAAATCGATCAAGAAGAAGTTTGTGGCTCTGTTCAAAAAGGGATCGGCTGCGGGTGATAGTATCGGTTCTACTGGCGAAAGCGAGAAGAATGACTATGACTACGGTACAAATACGCAAAAGAGTATCAATGAGACTGGAGACGTCAATGATGGTGACAACGTATCTATGGGTTTTCCGACTCCCGAGGAAGTTGTGAAATGTGACCTCGCAACTCTCCGCACAGCAGGCCTATCGCAGCGGAAAGCAGAATATATCCATGGCCTAGCGGAGAAGTTTGTCAGTGGGGAACTGAGTGCGCGCATGCTGCTAACTGCGAGCGATGACGAGGTTCTTGAGAAGCTGATCGCGGTACGTGGACTGGGTAAGTGGTCGGTAGAAATGTTTTCTGTTTTTGGGCTCAAGAGGCTGGATGTATTTTCCACAGGAGACCTGGGAGTGCAGTAAGTTACATCTTCCATTCTCTACTTCCATGCGTCCCAATATATCCTTCGTCTCCGTAACGCCAATGTGCTGAATGTATACCGTGTAGGCGAGGTATGGCTGCCTATGTTGGCCGCGACATTGCGAAGCTAAAAGCCAAGGGAGGCGGTAAGTTCAAATATATGAGTGAAAAGGAGATGCTGGAGATCGCGGCCCCTTTTGCTCCATACAGAAGTCTATTTATGTGGTATATGTGGAGGTGGGAAGATGTTGATTTGACAGTTTTGCAGAATTAGAGAGCATATATTCGAGCAAAGGATCTTTGCTGCTTATATAGAGCTGGGTACCGACTTCCCTGAAGATGCTAGAAGGGGAGTCAATTTGCAGCTGGCTGCTTCTGCATGTATCACAGCTCACCAGATGCTCCGGCGCCATTGAATGGAGTGCTGGCCTAATTACTATCTTAATTTTGGTTTCCTTTCCAGTCTTTTTCAGCGCCTTGATTTGGTGCTAGGACTTTGTGCCTTGAAATTTTATTTTTTTTTCCAGTTCCTTATCACTCACTTTAGCATCCTTTTTTCCGTCTCTTGCTTCTATCCATCAGAAGCAAGAGGCGTTCTGGGATCCAGGGCATCGACAGATGTCTTATCTCGAACCTCTCAGAAAGTCGCTAATTATGATTTCTATCATGATACCTTTCTCACATACTTCGGGATTTTCGCTTACCTGCCATAGATCACTTTCCTAAACCCTACAACGGCAACCTCCTCGCTGTAGAGCTTCATAGGTATGCTCTCTATATACACAGGTTGGGACTTGATAGTACGATGCCAGCCATGAAGCTGCTTGCATCACTGCCGCAATTGATTCTCCTTTGGTCGTATATTATCTATCAAGAGCATTTCAAGAAACATTTCCGCTTCGTGAGAGAGTTGAGCCTCATTGGATTTAGGTGGGGGATACCCAAGGCTGATACCCTGCCATCAGGCATGACTATCTCACCATTGCCGCATTCGTCCCTCCGCCATCCCCTCTCCAAAGCCCTCAAACCTCCTCTCTCAAGTTCCTCAACCATCCGGCCCCCCCCGTCGCGTTCTGATCTGGTGCATCCTTACCCTGATGAAAACAATTTAGGGCTTACTGATTCGCAAAAGGCCTTGCTAATCTCTGTTTCATCTGACCGTATTCTTTCCCGCCTCCTGACTATCGTCGGGAGGTGAAGCTGGAGCATATGTTACCTTGCGAATCTTTCCCTGGATGGTCTTCAATCTTTCAACTCAGCCACAATGCCTGGCAGAAACTACGTCGGTCCCCCATCTCACAGGCAAAGCAATTGAAGTCGCCGATTTGGGTTTCGTGGAACGCACAGGAGGTCACAGCTCTCAGCCGGAATCAGATGGAAATGGGTGAGGTCCAATGTCACAACAATCCATGCCAGTCGATCAAAATGCGGGTGGAGCTTCCTTTTTTTGGCCCTCGGGCCAAGATCTATTAATGAGCTTTCCCCAAGTGCACTCCCGTGGGGGTTGGAATAGGACTTCTCCAAGCTAGGAGACGAGGGATGTGGCATGTAAGATGGGATATTTCACGAAGTCGGCTTCTACGGATGATCGATTCGATTATGCCTTACCCGATACAGATAGGCTATCTACGGAGTATTCCGTGTGAGAAGAAACCCCTGGAACCAGAGGAATAAATATATCCCAAGGCGGCAAGGCCTCATTAATGCACACAACATATCGTAAAGGCTGACCGATGGCCCAATCGGCAACACCGTACAGTCCAAGCCATCTAGAGTGGGTGGCACTTGGGAAGATAGAGCCTGGGCCTTTTCAGTCTGTTGGATCAACAGCGAATCCAGTCATGCAGAACTTCCTCATGCATGGAGGGTTCAAGGGTACCTTGACGTAACCAGGGGCGGCATGATCTGTGCTCAACATTGACGGGAGAGCTTCGTGTATCTTGCATTTGCACAGGTTTCCTGAAGCATCCACCCATCAGAGCTGTGAAAAAGGTGAAAAGTCGTGGCAAACTACTTCTTGAAATGGACGGGCACAGAGTCCGTGAGTCTATGTCGGCGTTTCTTTCTTTCTTTCCCTTTTTTCTTTTTTTTTTTGGCAAATACTCAAATCCTTCTCTCCTAGGTCACCGACTTTTCCCACTCCATCTGCGCCGTGTGCACCATCAAGAGGTCCCCATCGTCCCGCTCCTGCGACATTAACTGTCAAATTGAATATCCCGTTTTGCGGCTCATTCGGCTTAATCGGTTACCTGTCAGCGAGGATATCGAACGGAACAAGCGTTCAGAATAGCTAAGTCGCAGAAGCAATTTTTCGAACCTAGAGAGCTTGAAGCAATGTAAAAGAAGACAGTCTTCTGCTTAGTTGTGCTTCGTGCAAAGCAACCCAACAAATACGCGCAATACAATTGTAGGTATGGCAGCACGACGAGCAGTGTTGTAAACGTATATGTTTCTGATGTAATGTGTAACTAATCAGGGAACTCTTGTCATTGACAGGAAACACTCAATAAGAACAACATGCCATCAGATTAACACAAAACAGAACATCGACTGGTAGTTTTCTCAGTTCCCCAGCCCTCATTCCAGCCGCAAGTATGTCCCTATAGCACTTGTGGGTAGCGATTACGGAAATCAGCACCACAAAAATCGTTTCTCGAAGTTTCGCCAGAAGTCGCCCAGCTCCGTATGCGATATTTTGGCTGCCGGACTCTGTAACATGCGGGTGTAAAGATACCGCTCGACGCTGCAAAGGTCTCCGGCTTGTATAATAGGAGTAATTATTTGACGATTGCTTCCATCACGTTCTGGGGCTCGTTGGCTGCGTTCTGCGAGCACTGTCTGCGAGCACTTTCTGCGAGCACTTCCTGCTGCAAGACGGTGCCTTGGTTTTGTTTCCCGCTAAGCAAATATCATCATCATCCCGCGGATGTAGATGCTGGACTGCACCAGTTTCGATGCCCACATCTTCATTGAATCCGGCTTGCGAAATCTCTCGCCCATCGTCAGTCAACTCGAGTATACAGTGGCGGGGGCGCACATAAGCCGTGTTGTCAGAGATTTGAAACTCATCATTTCCTAATCATATCAGAGTCTTTTTCATGCGTTCAAGAAAGCTGGAAGGGGGGGGGGGTCTCCTCCCCCCACGTCATCCGGTTTATTGGCCGTTTGATATTCGTTTCAATGCCAACATTATGCGTTTACCGCTCCTTTGCTGTCCCACGTCCAAGACGGGCGGCCCCCCTCTTCAAAAGTCCAGTAATCTTCCCGCTGGTCAAGCGGTTTAAACCGGAGTCAACGGCGGTTTCAAAAGGCGGGTATTGAACTGGATGTTTGAAATCCATACTTTTGACATGTTCGAAAATGTTTTGACGTCCTTTTGTCGGGCTCTTTCGTCCATGCTCAACTCCGTTTTCTATCTCGACATCATGAACTCATTGCTATGTTAATAGCTAGGATACCGAGGTTTTGGGGCAGAGCTTCAGTCGCCGCTGGCGAACTCGGGTACGAAAGGGCGCACTTGTCCTGCGATTGGGATAAGGTGGTCGGATAGCAAGGCAGCATCGAAACAGATGATCATGACCACCAAAAGCAGATGATGTTGTGACAGCAGGAATCCGTCGCTGTCAGAGTGGTTGATTGCATGAAGCGGGATGGAGATTCAGGGGAGAGGTTGAAGAGCATGTGGAGGAAGACGCATGGGAGTCAATATTCCCTGATCCCTGCGAAGCGGCAATCATTGCATTGACATTTATTCCTTGTCGATGGACTCCGTTTTGCCAAACAAACATGGGGTTAATCCATGCCAGACACGCCTGGCAATGATTTGGCTTGAAGACAGAGCACGATATTCGACTTGTGTGAGTATGGACTGGGGGGGAAATGCAAGCAATAGAATAGAGCGGTGAGGCAAATTTATGTCTGATATCCGTCCTTCAGCCGACATTTGCAGCACTCTCGAGCAAGCTGATTCTACAAGCCCTTGGCGTTGGACTCGAACCAGGGGGAATGTTCGATTTGCAAGGTTCACGATGCCGCTTCTCTGGGCAGCCAGGACAAACCAGATCACAATACTCGAGGCACAGGGTTCTCCGGGCTCTCGCTTCCCTTTATTTGAAGAAAATGCCCAGCCATCTTATGTCCGTGAGCCGCAGCGGGATCGCTCTCACAATTCGAGATTTCTGGGCATGCGACCTCCAAGAACTCGAAATGCAGCCCAAGCAAAATGGATCTGCTCGAGCTGAACTTTGTCTCGAAGAGCTGTTGTGGCCAGCAAAATTCTCTTTGAATTCCTCTCCAGTTGCCTTTGAGCAGAATATCGTAAGTTCATTAGGTAACAGATACCACGGCCCATGACAGGAGGATAAGTTAGTTATTGAACAGCTTCATCGCTCCCGATGTGGAGATCAGGATGACCAGATGACCGACCTCTCACAAGGCACAGCGAACTGAGGAACAAACGGCTACAAGGCTTTATTTCGGAAGAGCTTTGTCGCTCTTTTCCGTTGTTCTAATAATAATAAGCACTGGCGGTCGTGTCCGCGATGGAGCAGGGAGCTGCTTGGAACTCCCGTATTGAGGCAATCATCGAGAAGCGTGCTGGAGAATTGTGGGACTAAACGAGTTCGCCATCGGAGGAAAAAAAACAGACGGAACCCAAGAAAGATTGAAGCACTGATGGGATGCTTTGACCTCGCCGTCGAAATCTGAATACCAAGCCTGTCACTGCCAGGCTGTCAGCACTAAAGCTCGTGGGAGGCGATTCACTCGTGGTTTGGCTCTTCGGATTTGTTAAAAATTTTTACGATGGACACGATAACCGTCTTTAATTAGTTATAGATGGAGTCCACTTTTTCCTGATCCTCAAGGATTTGCTGCTGCGCTCTCGCTGTGCTGTCACAGGCTTTTCGCCATCTCGCCATCGAAAATTTTCGCCCAACCTCTCTTGGACCTGGGCCGGAACCCAGCTGGCTGCATGACTTCGCATTGCAGCCGTTGCCTCTGGATTGTTTGTACAGGACATAGTTACATAGTTCGGCCACCCGCCAAAGGGCTGAGCACTTGGCTCGTTCCCCTGATCATTCTGCCTGTCGCTGGCCGCGTTCAGCCTTTCCCCCGATTCCAAGGCAGCTGCTTTGCGATTTTTCACCGGTGGCCTTGTGGCATGACCAGCTGGTGAACCCCGATGGAGGGGGCTAAAAAAAATGGTCAGATTCAGCAGCAGAACACGCCTGCCTGCAACTTTAATCGAGATCCCTGGCCGGATGGAAGAGCGACAAGGTCTTCCCATAGATGGTCCAACGGATTGATGTTGGCCGGCCCTTGAGGGGGAGATTGATTCCCATGGCAACTATGGAAGGAAAGTCGTGATAATCACGCCCTAGATGTATGAACATGTAGAGTGCATATTCGACATTTGACAGCCAACATTTTCCAATGATAGGGTATCACCCGGCTTAACCGGGCCAAATTCACACTCAACTGCAGGACTGCCTGCAACGAAGGAGCTGGAGTTTGCGGGGCCTCGATGGAGATGGACGTGGGCCGGTGGCTGCTCTCCCACATGTTGGCTGTTGGGGGCGTGCTGCTTGTTTTGCTAGTGGGCTCACTAAAACAACAACAAGCAAAAGAGGCGCCGGTTAGGACGCCCACCGGACCTCCAAAATGGACGACGAACTTGATCGCAACGGCATTGATGAGTTCAAGAGACGGGAGTCAAGGACTTTCACCACTGCAGAAGTCCTTTGCACGTAGTCTGTACTCCCCCAAGGATAAACGCTGTTTCAGAGCCCCAATAACCTATATCGATTTGATAATGGATTTTCGAACAGACATCGTATGATCAGCAGGATCAATGGGATCTACTCGGAGCCGTTGAATAACTTTTTTTGAATTATGAGTTCTCTTACGAAATAGCTTGATGTAAGAGGGAGAGAGGAAGAACCAGGGGAGATGCGATGAACCGGCCATGCCTGCGTCTGGACAGGGGGGGACAAAAAGGCAGATTCTCTTGTGGATGTGCTGGAGGGAGCCCAGGGATCTGAGATCGATCTTTGCGTCTCGTCTCAGGAACGTCGAATGAATTCATGAGCAACCCAAGAGCGATGGTCCCGAAGCACGGAGTTCTCTCGGGCATGTAACTGTGCAGGACTATATACGTGCTGAAAAAGGGCGAAAAGTTTAATTTACGCCTGATATTATCATCCAAGCAAAGTAGGAGAACCAATAATCATAATTAACTACCCTGGAGATAAACTCCAGCTGGGAGCATTCTTCAGGCGCTTTTTCCTCGGTCCCCCGGAGATGTTGCGCGTGTCTACGGAGAATGTCAGGAGAACTCCCAGCCAAGGGCGACAGAATGACTTCTAGTGAAACATGATTAATTTCGTCAGCGCTGATTATCCTTCCCTCAAAGCTCGGGCCTTGCTTTGCCTGCAAGTGGCGTGACTGACGGGCAAGAGCAAACCTGGGGAGACTTTTCCCTCTCGTTTCTGCACGCCTAAATAATCGCTGTTTATCTCTGCGCGTCTGCCCAGGGGGGGGGGGGGGGTGGTCCAAGGGGAACACGGTTGGACGTGCATGAAAAATATCCGGGGTAAAGAAACGAAGATGCGGAGTGCTGGCGACGGAGCGCGCCTTGTCGGCAGATCAATCGACAAAAACAGAGTTTTTTCTTTTTTGCAACGAGGCGAGCAGCAAGGCAACCGAAAACGGTAACTCAACCTGTCTTCTCATGATGTTTCTCGAGTTCTCATTCTCCTTGGAGCGGGCTTGGGGGCTGACTCCCTCATCTCCAACCGAGACTGTCCTGAAAGAAGAGACGAACTCAATTTCCAAAACCACGAACGAGTCAAGAATCATTAAGACAAGGAATACAGAAATGCCTCCTCCTTTTCGTTTTGGCATCTCATCAGACATCAAGCCCAAGAGTGATCCGGGACGGCGTTTGAGAACGGTTGCATCCGCATGTGCTCGTCCGTTTCTTGGAGATTTTGTTTTGGGCACGGGATGGAAACCGCAATGGAAATCTTCTCCAAGGACAAATCAAAGAGTAAGTAATCATCGTCGGAGTCATCGAAACATTCAATCCTGCGGTTGATCAATGAACTCTCTCCGCGACGATGCCAATGCCAGTGCCAATGCAGATGCGCTGCGCTTCCTTGTCCACCAAGAAGCGCAGGAGCGCACAGGGAGCCAGTCCCAAGAAATCGCCGTCACGTCCAAGAACTCTTGGGAGAAAAGAGCTGGACGGCCAAGTCGCTTGGCCAATCCGCGCCCAGCATCAAAATTCGAGTGCTCCGAGGAAATATTTCATTGGTGGAAAGACCCTTTTTCCCCTTCATTTATGCCACTGCGGGAAGGGAGGTCGCCTTTTGATCTTCCAGAGGCAAAGTATCCGTATTGCTGCGGCAATTTAGACGAGAACCTCCTTCCCCATGTCCGCTGCGAAGGGCAGTCTTGGACATCCCGACTCGGGAGCTGGAACCGGGTGGTCGGTCAGAGTGGGGAGAGCGCCGGAGCCGACGGGGGGGGAGGTGTTTGCTGTGTTTGCTTGCCCCGGTGGCCAGCCCGAACCGAACGGATCGGTCCGACGAAGGAGGGTGCAAAGTCCCACTGTCAGCAGCAGGAGACGCAGTGCAGTAGTTGTGAGGCGGAGTTACGAGCGCTGGAGGTGTGTGAGGTGTTCAGCTTGAATTTTGAAGCTTTTCGCAAGCCATCACTTAGTGGACGATCAGCTCCTTAGCCGTGCCTGTTGCAAATGCTTTTTTTAGCCTGGCGTGCAGAAGTGGAGGCTTACCTAAGACAATACGAGCGAACAGTGCGGATTACATAATAAGTGGCTTCTATTCTTATATGCGGAGCTCCCATTGGCTGTTGGCGTATTGATGTTTGCATGGATTGCTCTTGTCGAGCCACAGCTGACCAGCCAAACTGCTCGAGTTGCTCGTGAAGCAGACATCCATTCTTCCAGCAACGACTGGCCGGCGATGATGGAGACTACGCCCTGCTAGCTGAGCGTGTTTGACTCGAAGCTAACTGCTCAGAGGGCTGTTCCGGCTGGAGCTCTGCACATCGTTTCCCCATACGGTCAAAGTCGTTATCACGAGAAGAAAAAGACCGAATGGCACGGGCTCTGCGGAGGAAGCTGTGGTTCAACACATGGCGTTTCGCTCTCCATGCTGCCAGGGTCGATCCGTCGTGTTATGTGTGGCGAGCATGGGTGCTGACTCAATAGCTTGACATCACGAATTCACGAAGACTCCAGCAGAGCCAATACGAGTTACGTCAACGCTTGCCTGCGAGTTGTTACTGGGTGCACTGGTTGCTCCTGTTGCGCAGAGCCCGTTTGCGGTTGATAATAACGTTGTATTCGTGTCAGTGGCTCCCGAATTGCTGCTGAGGCTCTCATTCGACGCTGAAATGACACGTTCATTGATTCATCTCAGATCAAGCCTTGGGTTCTGCTGGGGCCCTTGTTTTGCCGCTAACGAGCTAATCCTCTACCCCACGGTTTTTCCACTGCGTTTCTCTCTTTTCCTCTTTGCCTCTTCACTTGCTCTCTCTGTGCGGGTGTGTGGGCGAGCAGGGGACTGGGGAGTCTGGTCCTGCCTGAGAGTCCTGATGATAAACCCCCCCTGGCACCCGACTGCGGGCCCTTCACCATCAACATCCTAGCTCTGCCACCCTCGATCTCCCCCTGCTAATACGCGAGGGGGAAGGAAAAGCACAAAAGTTTAAACCGAGATAATACCACAGGTTGAAATGAAACGGTGAATCAAATTGAAACTTCAGCAAAAAAGAGCTTGCAGCGATACCCAATTATCCCCGCCTATAGAAAGTCCCCCTTTCTAGAAAGCCGTCGATCCCCTAAGCCCCGTTAACAGCCTTGGGTACCTTTCTGTTTTTTGCTTTTGCCATTCGAGATCGCCAAGTGCGGTTCCAAGATACACCAAGGCACGTTTTTGTGGTGTGGGTTCAGGCAGCTTCCCATCTTGTGTCTCACTCGAGTTGCATGATCCCTTGACACGAAGAACGAAATGTGCCAATGTTCTAGTTCCTTCTTGATTTCTTGTCTTTTCGTTTACTTTCGTCAAGCGGCGGGAAGATGGCAATGCACGAAGCTCGAACACGACGATTTGTGTTTTTTCTTTCCCTTCCCATAGAGCCCACTGTTTCAATTAGTACGGGAAAAAATGGTCGGGGATCAGGGGGGCTTGAACAGTATAGCCCTGCAAGGGCATAACTTCGCCTGCCAGGCGGGTACCGGTGGCTTCATCCTGACTACGGAGTACTTTGATATCCTTTCCGCGATGGCGAATGTAGATAAATGAGCCCTTCTGCCCCGTCTCAGCTGATAGCTTCTTGGAGGAAGACTTTTTTAACTCACAGTCATCTTCTCTTTCAAGCTCAAGCTGATTGAAAAGTGAAAGAGTCCAGAGGGGAGCAGAAAACCAAAAAAGAAAAAAAGCAGGGAAAAGGATCTCGACAGGATGAAGTACGTTTCGGCTCTCATCACGGCCTACTCTGCGCTCGCGAGCGCCGGTAGCGTGTTGCCCGGTAAATTCGCGAAGGGTATACCCAAGGGTGAAGATGGCAGAGGAGCTGTGCTCTCCGGTAAGCACAGACTGTCCTTTTTCTCTTTGAATGACTGGCTTTTTGGCTAACATGTTCTTGCGCCATCAGGTGGTACCAACCACGAGCTCGATCTACAGAATCCCCACACCCTCGGTGCTTCGACAGACACTGACAGTGGCCTGGTCCCGAATATAAAATGGAGTTTCTCCCTCTCCAGGATGAAGATCTTCCACGGTGGTTGGGTGCGTGAGCAGGCGATTACAGATTTGCCAACCAGCCACGACATTGCTGGTGCTCAGGTGCACATGGAAAAGGGAGCAATTCGACAAATGCATTGGCACCGAGTTGTATGTTTTCCTTCCCTGCAGGATTGGAATCTTTGAACGTTGGGACTCAAGATACTATAACAGGCTGAATGGGGTTACGTCTACGCCGGCCGAATTTTGGTCTCCGCTGTCAACGAGAACGGACAGTTCGAGTTGTCCTACTTGGACGTTGGAGACATCTACTACTTCCCTAAGGGAACTGCCCACTCTCTTCAGGGTAAGTTTCGCCTGATCAGCAGATCACTGGCGTTATAACTTGCTCACAATTGGAAATCTAGGTCTGGAGGATGAGAACGAAGTCCTGCTGTGCTTCGATGATGGTGACTTCCAGCGTGTTGGGTATGTGGTCTTTTTCTTCCCTTGGCGGTTATCGCCTCTAACATCCATTCTAGAACCACCTTCCAGATCAACGACTGGATCACGCATACGCCCAAGAGTGTCCTGGCCAAGAACTTCAATATGCCAGCATCAACCTTTGACACCTCATTCAAACCCGAACCCGCCATTGTCAACTCAACAATCAGCACGAGGAACGTCACAAGCCCCTACGGACAGTTGACGGGCAACAGCTCCTTTGTCTTCTACCAGAGGCAGCAGCCACCAGTGGAAGTCCCCGGACGTGGCGGTACCATGCAAATTGTCGATTCCCGCAACTTCCCCATCTCCAAGACTATGGCATCCAACATCATCACTCTCAAGCCAGGTGGTCTCCGTGAACTCCACTGGCACCCTGCTGTAAGATGGAACTTTTGTTTTTGGGTAATGGGTTAATTGTTCTTGCTAACGATTCTTAACCAATATCCAGGGTGAAGAATGGGTCTACTTCCACCGTGGCCATGGACGTGCTACCGTTTACATTGGCGCTGGAAACACCCGAACCTTCGACTTTGAGGCTGGTGACACTGGTGTCTTCCCTGACAACTGCGGTATGTTTTAGTTGCCTCTTTCGTGGATTACTATGCTAACATTGGTTGCTTTCAAGGCCACTACGTCGAGAACGTTTCGGAGACCGAAGACCTCCTCTACGTCGAAATCTTCAAGGCTGACCGTATTGCCGACATTTCGCTCGCCCAATGGCTTGCCTTGACCCCAGCCGACATCGCTGCCGCCGCCATCAACGTCCCCATCGAAACCATCGAGCAGATGAAGAAGGAGAAGCCGTTGATCGTTGGTCCCGACAACGTACCTAGCTGAAGTGTGAAAATGGAAGCCTAGGTCCCCGGCCTCCTTTTTTCCTATCTTGATGCACCTCCCCATTACTTACCATTATTTTGGTGTTCCTAATTACTAGACTACGCTTGCCGTTCCCCCTTTCTTCCAAAACACCGAACATGCTTGTGCCTGTATATATATAACCATCGAGCACTATCACCCCGCAGACCCCTCCCTGTACCCTCAACATGCTCGTCCAAATTTCTTCTTCTCAAGGGGTGTGCTAGAATTTTTTTGACAAGAGCGTATCTTTTTTTCCATTTCTCCTTGGTGCTTTTTGCAATTGAACAAGATTGGTTCTTCCCATGCTATCTTTTCTGGATTACAGTCGGCATGCACTCATCATGCCGACGCGCGAAACAGGGTTGACTTTGTTGGATATAGAAATTGAACAGATGAAACCTCTTTTTGAACCAAACAACATTTGGCTGTCCCTTCATCAATCCATTACCTCATATCGGACTTATACGAGCTTGAATCCCATGATGCGGAGGAAGCAGAGGGCAGAACATGGATTCCTTGCGGGTTCGAGATTTCTGTTACGAGCTAACTAATAATTATTCAGGGCCCCTGGGTGCAAAAATGACAGGGGAAGTCGATCGCCCAGGGACCAAAACAACACACGCCAACGCCAACTCCCCAAGCAAGCCGCCGAGCCTAGGTTAAGGCCCACGTTTCATCCTTTTTACCTAAGTCACTTGTTTTTTTATCTCCCAGGGTGGTCGAAAGAACAGGAAGAAAATCATCTCATGTGAGCTGTCCTGGGTTTCGCCCTAAACAGCCAAACGGAACACAAAAGCTTCTTCTTTTGCAGGAATGATATTCGGCGTTCTTTGCTTTTCTTGTTTGACACGGGACGGGATTTACGTACTCCAGATGGGGTTGTATGTAACCCTTCTTCCGTTTCTGCTTCTCCCTTCTTCATTTTCGGATTTCTCTTGGAAGGTTTCATTACGGGAATTTTGAACTAATTATTTGACTTTGCATAATTGTCGCGACCCGAATGGGATATTCTTGGAATTTGCTCTCCTGCAGGGGCAGTTTGGAGAACTTTGGGACGTTTTTGAATGCGAAGACCGCAAATCGCAGTGACGTCTCCCCCCTCCATCTCCTTCCCGTCGTCGATCGAGTCCAGGGCGTTATTATTCTCTGGGGCGTTGGTTAGCGGCTTTTTCCCCAAGGTGCCATTGCAGGAATATTGTCTGAAGTGCCTCTGGGGGTTTAAATGATTTGCTTTCTGAGGACTTGCATTTACTGCTCTTTTCCGCGGAATGTAATCGCAAATGCACAATTCACAATCTCCAGAGAGAGCAGAAGGCATTGAAAATTGGCTGAAAATGGGAGATTTGTTTCTAATATAACAAATTCTTTCACTGGTGGAACCTCTAAGTCACAATATCTGTACAAGAATGTTTTTTTTTGTTCTGCTGCGTGTGCATCTTCACTTCCCTCAAGGTGTCCATTCCATTCATTGGCGTTGTCGTTGGGGATCCTGACCCTCAGCCCTACTCCCCATGTAGCCTCTTATCGCTTGATAACCAAAGAGTCCAGGTCTTCACGTTCCTGGCGCTCGCGCTCGATTTCCTCAATCAGGGGTCGGAGGTAGCGGATGTCCTGCATTGTCCAAATTAGGAACCACATGACCAGGTGCTGCTTTGGGAAAGCGGGCTCACCTCTTGCGGCTTGGTTTGCTCGGCCACCGGCAGAATCTGCTGCTGCAATGAAAGCTGTTCACAACCAACATCACACATCATCATCCATTAGCCCATCCATTTTCTTTCAGGCTATTGTGTTTTCACCCTGGGAAGAGAAACCCACCTGGACCGCGCGGCGGATGCGGTAGATACGGTCGTACGCCTCCTTGGGAGGAAGTCGCTTGAGAGCTTGCTGGACGACATCGCTTTCTTCGGGGATCAAGTCATCGTATCTGTTGGAGTGCAAAGATGCGTCAGGATCCATGTCCGATTTCGATTACACCACACAATCTGGTCCACATTGACCCATCGCATTGCCCTCTTCTTTCCCCCCCATCGGCCTGCCTTGTTTCCGGAAAAGCACGAACCTGAGTCCCATCTGCCTATATCCGGCCGCATTGGCGTACCATTGGGCCACGGGCATCATCATCCGCTTGACCCACGGAACCTCGAACGTCCGGCTGACGATGCTGGCGAGCGACATGGCTGCGACGGAGGGCGGTCGTGTAATTATGTCGGACGGAAGACGGCAAAATCGCTTCTTACTCCCCAATTGCTGGGTGGGTTGAGAGTCACGCTGGCGGGCTGACAATTGGGAGCGCGGTGATTTGACTGGTGGTGATGGTTGATGATGATGTTGTGCAAAATCGACCAGGACGCTCGGGCCACATCGGCCTCACTGGAACCCAGATCTCGTGACTGTGAGGAGAGTTCCGAGGAGGGAAAGATGGTTTCCCTGCTTGCAACTCCGTTCCTCTCCTCATCTCCTCTTCTTCTCCTGCTCCTCTCGCCTGGCTGTGCTCTCTGCATCCTCTGTTCTTACATAGTGAAGTCGCCCCTTCACCATCATCGTCGACCAGATCCTGTTGATTTTTTTGTTTCAGTTTCCATCCATTCCTTGGCTTACTTCATCTAACAATTTGGTTTCCTGCATGAGCATGAAAAGTGCAGATATCTAGCCTCCTCTGCTCCGTGTTGGAGCTGCGAGGGTTACCCGACCCCGCAGGACCACTGCTCAACAAACTACACGAATAACCCTCTCCACACTTAGTCTAGGACATATAATCAGTGGAACGCGGAATTCGCGCACTTCGAAACAAAAGTATCTGTGCGACGCCGTTTGACCTCGAGGTCTTGAGCTGGGAGGCCCGACCTTCTCCGCGCCGCAACGCTGCATCCATGAGGCGTCACTGAGCTACGAAGAAGTGAGAATCCTGCCAAATCATGTCTCCCGGCTCCACCAACTCGTCTGGGAATCTCGCCGGTACTTCCTCCAAGCAGCAGTTCTCACACCCCTCAGAAAAACATCCCTCCGTTCCAACATTGCACGCCGGTGCAACACCTCCTCCGAACTCCCCGTTGCTGAATAGCATACAAGTATACTCCACGCGCATTCCTCAAGCCTGGGTTACGCCATTTTGCGGAGCAAGCGCTGGGATCGCATCAGGGGTTGTGACCTGTCCGCTGGATGTTATCAAAACCAAGTTACAGGCACAGGGTGGATTTCAGCTTAGACGAAATGGCAAACTGGTGGAAACCGCCATGTTGTACAAGGGGATGCTAGGAACGGGCAGGACCATCTGGAAAGATGAAGGCATTAAGGGATTGTACAGAGGCCTAGGGCCGATGCTTCTGGGTTACTTGCCAACTTGGGCCATCTATTTGACGATATACGACCAGTCGAGGGATTATTTCTGGGAGAAAACAGGTAAGTTCTGGCTATTGGTCCGGGATCCAAGCCGCCTGGCTAATGCTGCACGTCGCAGAAAATTGGTGGTTGGCCCGTGGGTACGCATCACTCTCGGCCGGAGCATGCTCAACCATAGCCACAAATCCCATCTGGGTGATCAAGACGAGGCTCATGTCCCAAAGTTTCACACCGTCGACAAATGGGTATAACGCACCTTGGTATTATAAAAATGCACTAGATGCGGCTCGTAAGATGTACGCCAGCGAGGGACTAGGTGCATTTTATTCTGGCCTTACTCCTGCCCTGCTTGGCCTGTCCCATGTTGCCATACAGTTTCCTCTATACGAATATTTCAAAATGGCTTTTACAGGATTTGGCATCGGCGAACACCCGGATGAAGGGAACACACACTGGATAGGAATTAGCGCGGCCACGTTTCTCAGCAAAGTCTGTGCCAGTACGGCTACTTATCCCCATGAGGTGTTGCGGACTCGTTTGCAAACGCAGCAAAGAAGCGAGCCCGCTCCATCGCCCGAAGGAATCACGTTCCGCGGTGGCTTAGAACAGCCTCAGGATCATGGCCGCCCGCCAGGTTTAGGAGCCGGTGCATCATCTTCGGATGGTATGCGCAACCGCCCGCGTTACCGTGGCGTGATTCGCACCTGTCAAACCATGCTTCGAGAAGAAGGCTGGCGCGCGTTCTATGCTGGAATCGGAACAAATCTTTTTCGTGCGGTGCCGGCTGCGATGACCACGATGCTGACTTATGAGTATTTAAAGAATATCATACATTACACTCAGCATGAAGGCGACAGAATCTTGGCTGAGAATACGGCGGCAGTTTATTAAACTAGTTAACGACTGAAATCTGGATGAAAAATCTGGAAATGTACAATGGAGAAGGCTTTTTACGACGAATTTCCTTCACTGCTAGCGCTATATTATTTTGTTTTCATTCTAACCACAGATAACCGGCCTCCAGCGATATCAGCGCGCATAGACCACAGGCATCATTGCTATATGTTTTGTAATGTTTTTTCAACCTTGTTCTTTGCAGCCCATGGCCTTTAATGTTTCACTGTGTTAATATTAGTTAGGCTCGATTAGCTTACAAGGATGCGAGTTGAAGAAAAGGAGAGATGTCCCTCTTTACAAGATCGTTCCCATCCTCCGTCCTGCTTTTCCATCATTGCGAGATTCCTGGGCTCATACCCTTCCGCCAGAACATCATGATAGCCGGGAAAAGCCGGTTATGTCCCTTTGCGTTTGAGAAGATTTAGGTAAGGTAATTTCAATGTGACGGCCTTAGGCTCAAGTGGACTTCGGGAACCGGCTTTGAGGCATGTGGAATGAGTGCTTTAAATATATGCGAATACATCCATATGTCTTGTCTCCTAGCTTTGGGCTGGAATAATTATGGTCCACTTCCGTCGGAGTTTCAAAGTTCCGATCCGGCCTCTTCTTTCCGCTTTTGGCAGTCTTGACAGCCTCCCATCACTTTTTCCTCTTTCTGTGGGAAGTAGACACCAGATAGCACTGATATCTATGAGGATTCTTCCAGTATTTAAAGAGAGAATAGATATATTTCAAATCATATGCTACTAGGGGAAAAATAATCACACGTACCTTGCAATATAAATACCTGTTCTTAGGCTGTATTCTACAGTTACGGATCCCGAATCTATTGCGGTAAATGTACTCTTATAAGTACCGGTACAATATATACAAATAGGTCTTTGTCTATTGAAGTTAATTCGCCAAACCAAGTCTACCCCTTACGGACAGCCACCGCTCATATATCCCTAATTTCAACTCAACGCGGAGGTACCTCACCCACGCGCGCATAAACTGCCAAAAGTTCGGTGGCCAAAAGATGCTGCCATGTTGGCGAATGGATTCCATTTGCTCTTCGAAAACGCTGCATGTAGCATATCGAGCGAGGATAAGGAAAGCGCGCAGTGGACCGTGACGCGTGTGCAAATTTTCATCGAGGGAGCGAGCTGATGAAAAATATCAGTATGCCGTATAAAACGAGGAAAAAATAACTGAGAACCCCGGAAAAGGGATAGGCTTACTGAGATCGTTTGTCTTGAGAATCAAGAGAATAATTCGGGGTACTTGACCCAGCAAGCTGACCAGCTCTTGAAGCATTCCGTCACCCATCGCGTCAGAAATAACCTCCTTTTCTTCGGAGGACCTTGAAGAGGCGATTGCATTATTTGCCACGACGGTGTAGTCTCTGCCCGTAATAGCGCTGGCGAAAAGCGGGAACTGCTCGTCCGTTATTCCCGCCACTTCATGTGCGTATTTTCGCATTCCCTCCTCGTCTGCGTCTACGATCGAAAGCCACAGTTTGGCGTAGGATCTTCGAACTTCCCGAGATATGTCGCGGTAGAGACCGTGGTCGTAGAGAATGATATCGAAGTTGGGCTTACGCCGCGAGTTATTTTTGCGGATGGCAATGTTTCCCCCATGCGGATCGCAGTGCAACGGGGCACCGTCACCAAAGATCATTTCGTTGAATATGTGAGCCAAAGCGGCCGAAACTTCATCTCTATCGATTTTATTGGAGTCTAGATATTCGAGATCATCGGGTCGATGGCCGGAGATGAAGTCCATGACAAGAATTCGCTGCTTTGCCCACATAACTACATAATCATTCGTTAGCTTGATGGGGCGTCAGACAAGGTTCGGGTTGGCCGAAATACCTTCTGGGATGACCAAGGGTGCCTTTGTTCTCGTCCGAAAATACTCCCTTGCTCTCCTTGCATTTTCAGCTTCCATCCCGAAAATCTAACTCTTGCGGCAACGACATATCCATTTCACTCGACAACCACTCAAGGTCATATTCCGGGAAGAACCTCTTCAACATTGAGAATGTGAACCTTGTCAGTGCCAGGTCCAGCGGCACCCATTCCGCCAACGCAGGATGTTGAACCTTGACAGCGACCTTTTGTCCAGAGTCTTTGAGCACCGCAACATGCACTTGCGCCAACGACGCGGCACCAATTGGATCCCTTTCAAAACTGGAAAAGAGCTCGTCTATCCTATGCCCAGTATCTTTGACAAACATCTCCTCGACGGATTCGAACGACGAAACGGGACATTTATCTTGCAAAGGGATGAATGTCGTTGTCCACTCCAGCGGCAATAAATAGCCCATGCTACTCAAATGTTGTCCAAGCTTTATAAAAATGGAACCGTTTTTTTCTAAAACGCGTAATGTTCGCTCCGCACATCGTTTATGACAGGCTTTTAGGATCTCCGTTTTCTCTTCCTCCGAGCCTGGATCTTGGTTGAGGGCTATTCGATAACTATAGCACAAACGATGTTAGTCTCTAGCACACAATGAACTCCGCGTATCAGAAGCAGTGGATCAAATCGAAACCCCGCAGGATCACACGGAGAATCTGAACGGGAACAAAAAGGGGCCCGATCGCCGACTCACTCATTAATACACACCGCCAGCGCGGTAATAACTCTTCCCGTCCTTTCCGCAGCATTATACCCATGCTTTATATCGTCCGAAAACGCAAGTGCCACAGCACCCACCGTCCCTCCCGCCGCGGCATACTTCAGCGCCCGCCGGGGTCTCCTTTTCCCACTACTCCCTAAAGTCGAGGCCTTGGACTTGAACGGAGCGGTCGAGTACTTCTTTGTGAAATCCGCAGATCTAAACTTCTGTCTTTGCAAAAGACATCTTCGACATGTCCACGGGGCCGTCTGTGGTTCGAATAAGGGGGCTCTGGGGGGAACGCGGGCAGCGCCGGGGAAGCCCCGAGTAGGGATCCGGAGCTTCATGCGCGGATTTAGAGAGTAATACGTTCGCGTAGAGGGATGGAAATCAAAGGGATTATGTGAAAAGGCCAAAAAGTCTTGTCCCAAGCCCAACTGCTATTCGAATGCTGCCGAAACTGCTCAAGTGACCGTGTTGGACTTGGGGATGGGAATCGAACGATAAATTATTTTAAGGTTTCCGCCGGCACGGAAAATTCTCGCGCCGACTTGCTTATCTTATCTTACCACGTGATCTTATCAGATTTCAGGCTTGGCAGCTGGGCGCAAAGAATCCAATATCAACATACTCAGAAAGGAATGGATATCAGCCACGGATATAACTGGGTACCTAATAAAGTAAGGAACAATAAGAATTTCAAAAAGTGCAGACTCAGCCCATCCTGGCCAAGAATTTACCTGCCCCAATGCGCCAATGCTATGCTATGCAATGCGATGCGAGTTTTCGAACGAGTTCCAAAGAAACAGCCATCCAAGGGAATCCCAGTAACTAAAATAGATTAACACTCCCTAGGACATACCCCTGTTCACGCCCATTCCGACCCGCCATTCGTCGGTCTCCTTCTCCGCGATTGAAGGATCGACGGTGTCCGAGTCGAAGTGGGAGTCCTGCTCTCCTCCTTTTGTAGTGTCAGCGGCGTGATCTGCTGGGATAGACGATGTGCCAATCGGGGTTTAAGTCCATTCGCCGATCCAACCGGAGTACCCGCGGAAGACCTGCCATCTCGACTTCCCGGCCGCAGTATTAACGAACCGTTTAATCCAGTCGAAGGATGAAGATTCTCCCTGCCTTCAACGTAGAGTTTCGATGCTCCGGTTCGGCTTACTTGCGGTGTGGTCGGCATCGAGTGGCTAGACATCAAAGCCGGGGGCGTAATGGATGAGTTCCTGCGCCTTGTGGACCATCGCTTTTGGCCATTTAACTGGTCGTTCTCTTCACTCAGCTTGACAAGTTGGGAAGCTAACTCCCGCACGAGAACACGAGAGTCCTTTTGCAACTCCCTAATTGCATCTAATAGGCCATACCGGCTTAGGAGACCACATCGTTCGTCACAAGCGTCGCAAATAGTTGATAGGATACGCAATAAATTGACTCTCACAGCTGGTTTAGTATGGTGAAGCTTTTGTCCAATACGCTCGAACATGTCTGGCCTTGCAAGCGTTGCTGCAACGGCTGGGCTCAACCGGAGCAGTTTCTGAAGGGGTTCCAGGAGATTTTCAAATGTATTTGCTTTCGAAATTGTAACGCAGCGGACAATTGCAATTGTGAAAAGGGGCTCGCCATTACGGTTGTCGAGCAAATGCTCCTCGACTTTGGCAGTTTCTTCTTGAAGCCTAGAGCCAAATGGTTAGCTGAAACCGTAAGCCCAAGTGGAAAGAGAAAGACTCCATACCAGCTAAATATTGCATCAAGAGCGGTAACCTGCCAGTATGGATCAGATAATAATGATATATAAAACGCCAAGCCCTTGTTGCGCCAGAGTTCGCGCCGGCCAACTTTGCCAGAATGTGCCATGTCGCAGAGGATCGGTAATGCAAATTCTTTCAGTGGTCGTTCGGTTTTCACGATTTTCTGTAACAGCGGTATTATGCCATTCAGAGCCGCGTCTTCTTGCCTCGACTTGCTTAGGCGGCACATATTATAAATTGTGTTCAAGATTTGGTTAGAAACTTCACGGAAATGGGGGCCTTTCATGGTAGAACGCAGTAGGTCGGTGAGAACATCAATCGCGTTCGAATTTTGGAGTGCCTCAAGAGTCGTCGAGAGCATCGACAGGTTTTTAATGAACTTGAGCATTGTAATTTGAGGTCCAGGTGACATTCGTTTCAGCTCTTTAAGCACTCCTGTGAAGCCGAGTTAGCAGACTCCCAACACTCTTCGAGCGAAGGTATCAGGCTTACTATGTAAGACTGTTCTCTCCGCGACCATTTCCTTGACATGGCTTTCGGCTTGTGAGAATATATGGAAAATATTCGCGATACGGCCTTCGCAAAGTTCAGCTAGTTCCCCTTCCTCCTCGTCTAAGACTCTGCTTAGTACTAGAGATAACGGGTCAAGAACTGAATTCCGGGATAATATACGACAGAAATCGTTTTTCGGCGTGGATCCCTAGCCATTGTTAGCCTCCGTAACGCAAGTCAAACAGGCCTTTTTCGAAACTTACCTGCAATTCAAATACACTCCAGATACCATTGACACCGATTAAGACGAGATCCCGCTCGTCTTCGTAGTCATCCTCCAAGAACTCGACCAAAACATTCAAACCTCCAGCACTGACAAACATCTGGAGGGTCAGAGTCGACGTCTGATACATTTGCTGCACAAACGAAGCTGCCTCAATGCGGATCTCGCGAGGATATTTTTTCGAAGCGAACCGATTGATAATTGGAATTCCTCCTACGAAACAGAGATTCTCTTGAACCTCGTAATCATTAAAGATAATCTTGAGATGGTTAGTCTTCTAAGTGTCATTGCTCAGGTACATAGATGCACTTACAGCATTCACAATTTTTAAGAGGTTAGAAATGACATCCCTTCGACGACATGTATCTAGAATCTCAAGCATGGGTAGCATACCATGAGCGCCAATGATCACGTTTTTGGTTTCGGGCAGATCCGAGAACACGGCGACCTGCATCATCAGCACTTCGTAATTAGGAATTCAATCGCCAAGTTAGGAGCTTACCAATTGCTCAGAGATGTCTGCTAGTACTTCGTCATCCTGCGAGGTCTTCAACGAACTAACAAGGCCTTCAACCTGGTTCCGAAGTCGAGCATATTTGTCTCTCGCGATATTGGCTTCGAGATCCATCTCATCCAAACCCTCTTCGAGTTGCGCAAAAGGGTCGTCTTCATCATCCACATCCCCAAGCCACGAGCTCGTAGATAATTTCGAGTTCAGCATTAGACTACTACGATCAGAGCTGTCGTCACTATCCAATTTGACGAGTGTATCCTCATTGCTCCCAAGTATGTCTGAGAAATCTTCATCAGTTTCATCCTCCGCATATCTTTCGATCCCTATAGATGTTCGTGCTCTTGTGATGGACGGTTTCTTCCTTCTCAGGGGTAATTGGAACACGCTTTTTTCAGGGGAATGAACGACAGTGGTATCAAGAATAGCTGCGCCATTAGATTCTTGTGACTGGCCAGCATTATCATCGGTGTTATGGCCCTATCAATGGGTAAGTTATAACTGAGGACAAAGATGGGACCAATCGCGAGTTTCTCACCGGAGCCACCGCTAGCTTGCTTTCAAGGACCTCGTCGTTCGCGGCGATGAGATCAGAATAATCTTCAACAGAACTTTCCTTGTAGAAAGCAGCCGGTCGAGGGTGAGATGTCGGTTTTGGGGATCCGCGCGAAATGGGAGCTATAATTGCGCTCTTCTTGAACGAGGGCGTAGGAACTTGTCGATGCCTCGTTCGCCTTGGAAGTTTCGGGGGATTTTGGTGTTCCTCAGGCCGCCTTCGTACATATGGACGGATAGTTTGTAATGAATCCGAATCCGAAAAGATAGACCTATCCCTGTTGAGTGCGCTATTATCTGATAAATTATCTGCCCCCAGTTCGGCGATATTCTCCAGTGAAGCGAATGCTTTGAGTTTCTCCGACGACAACATGCCCCCGAAATTATCCTGCGGTTTCAACCGAGGGCATTGAAGAGCACTCGGCGAAACTGCAGAAGCAAAGTCGTCATCCCAATTGTCATCATTATTGTCCGGAGACCTAAACTTATCCGGGACATTTGTGTTTAGGGCAGGGACAGATTCACGGGAGGATGGGTGGCGGGAGTGCGATTGTGTTCTCTGGCTCTGCCCGGGGCTTGCGTACGCAGATCGCATAGGTCGTCGTAGAGTATTTGGATTGGGGGACCGGAGTGCTTCGTTCCATTCCTGGACGCTTTTGACAGCCTCCTCGTATTCCGTAGACTTCGTCGGAACAACAGAGTCAGACCGCTTGGCGTTCATTATCCATGGGTGTCGCAGTAGTTTCCGGGCTGTTACGCGAAGATTTGGATCTTTTTGGAAACATTGCATGAGGAAGTCTTTTACAGCCTGGTCTAATATTAGCAATCCGAACTCGTACCACCGAAAAGAGATGGAGACAAACGGGTGAAGCCCCTTGAGGCAGCGGAGGGTGATCGTCGTTGACGATACGGAATAGTGCTTGCATAGGCTGAAATTTGTAATATGGTGGCTTTCCTTCCAACAGCTCTATTACCGTCGAGCCCAAGCTCCATATATCTGAAGCTGTCGAAGCCCCCGACAACTCAATCACCTCTGGCGCCATCCAGTATGGGGTGCCGACGACGCTCGACTCATGGAGGCCAGTGGTGCGGCTGGCAACACCAAAGTCTGCCAGTTTTACTAACCCTTGTTTCGTGGTAAGGATGTTCGCGCCTTTGATATCTCGATGGATAACGCCTTGTTCGTGGAGGTAGAGTAATCCGGATAGGACTTGTGACATGTAGAGGGAAACGAGGTTTTCGGGAAATCGTCCGAAATTTTTCGAAATCGAATGTAGTGATCCATTTTCGCAGTACCTACCGATACATTAGTAGAAAACCAAGGGAGTTCCAATATCTGGCAAACGTACTCAAGGATGATGTTCAAGGTTTCTGCAGACTTCACGAACCCATGGTACTTGACAATATTCGGATGCTGGTAGCTTTTAGTGTCAATGGTGGTCCCTGAACCATATACCGCTGCGACCTTGCGGGGTAACTCACATCCAAATTCTTGAGGAGATCGATCTCTTGCTACAAAGTTGGGGGTTAGGACTCTCTCCGGTAGACCGGCAGCAGGGCCAATTTCTCACCATAATAACCCGGAGTTCGCTCTTTGGCAAGTCCACAAGTCGGATTTGCTTGACAGCAACGGTCTCTCCGGTGCCCCAATTCAGCGCGCGATATACAGAACCAAATGCACCTTTGCCAAGGCAGTCGCCCAATTGCTGTGAGTATCCATCGTCAGTAAAACGCGGTCTGCTACGTCCCCCCATAACCAAGGTGTAGAACGTACGTAGTCTGTCAGCTCCGAGACATCTTTCGCGGACGACCTGGACCTCTCCTTCTTCGGCGGGCTAGCCCCCGACTTCAGTCGTTGTCTCGAGGGAGTATCGTGTGCGCGCGACGGAGGGCGGATTTCTCCTGGGTCGTCGGATCGGTGGACCATGGTGGGGGGAGGGACAGCTCTCAGCGGGCGAACGGCGGCGGAGACGATGAAAGCGATATCGAGGGATCGGTCTTCATGTCAGATCGGCTCAATCAGGGCAGTCTCTCTCGCGAAACGTCCGAAGAGGGGACGACACGATAAGAGCCGAGTTAGCGACAAGGTTATTGATAAAGTTGGGCTGAAGGCAATTGGAAGCTCAGGGCCAAAAACAAAGGGGTCTCAGGGCAAGTTTCCTGTTCAAAACATCCTGGATACAATATAGCTTGATCCAAGCAGGGCAGACTGTGAGGGAATGCTAAGGGGAAACTAGAGAGGCCAGTGGCTGCAGAGATGTTTCGTTGAGAGAAGTGCAGACACCGGATGTGCTGGTGAGGTGACTAGTTGACTAGTTAGGGATGACGCACTTGGAGGCACACAAGACAAGTCAGCTTTGGCCCTTTTAGCGCCTTCGACGCCATAGACTCTGGCGCCGTGATTGAACAATTCGCAAATTAGCAGCTGCACACCCCTTGCTGGACAGGTGGAGGCGACGGTCTCCTCCGTTGACACAGGGGAGGGTTTATCTAAAAATAAAGCTGCGTACAAAAGGGATCGGGACCCATGAACCGATCTCTCATGAAGAACAGGGGCCCCCGGGGACGACACCACGCTATTGATTCGTGTCTGGGCTACAGAACCACATGGCTTGTTCACCACGGCTGAGATTACTTAGCTACTTGCAGCTTGGGCTTCCCGCAGCAGCCTCAGAACTTCAGATACAAGATATAAGCTGCCTGCAATAACCATAGGCCCCCCGGCTGACACAGTACTAGCCCAGTTCAATCCTCCCACAACATTGGCACCAAATCCTTCCACGGCTCCAAGATCGGATACAGAGCGTGCTACGGTAACCAGGTTTGTGGTGTTCACACTCTGAACCCACGGCATACCCGCGACCGGTCCAAACTCTACGGCGACCACATTGTCGCCAGGTTTGAACATGCTGCCGAACAATTCTTCAGTATCTTTCCCCTGCGAAGCCGCCACGACCCAAGTAATCCCCTGGCCATGTACGCGGAGCTTTTGGTTCACATATGAAGCAAGTACACCCGCAGACTGGGGATTGTGGGCGCCGTCGAGCAACACCAGCTCTTTTCGAGAGATCAACGGCTCCAGGCAAACCTCCTGCAATCGACCAGCGCGAGGGGATTTAGGAACGAAGGGGAGCAGTTGGTCGACGGTGAGCTGCGGTCTAATCTGAGGCAATGCTGTCTGTAATGCCATGATAGCACAGGACAGGTTTGCGCGTTGGTGAGGAAGCAGGTCACGGTCTTCAAAGTGGCGGCGAAGAGCCGGGAATAATCGGCCAACCTCTTGAGCTTCGACGAACATTGTCGGTGCGCCTAGCGTCTCCGCATGGGCACTGATTACTTTCTGCACTTCTGGCAAATTTGTGCCATCCACTAGACATGGCACTCCTGGCTTTATAATGCCTGCTTTTTCCTTGGCGATCTCTTCAATAGTATTCCCCAGAAGAGCCTGATGATCGTATCCGACTTTTGAGATGATCGATGCCAGAACGTTCGTCAAAATATTCGTCGCATCAAGACGGCCGCCCACGCCAACTTCGACGATCCCCACGTCAACCTGCTCCTGATGGAATACTTCGAACGCGGTGGCAGTCAAAAGCTCAAATTCCGTAGCCCCAAGACCCAGCTGCTGATCTCTGTGCTTGACTTCATCTTCGATTCGGCGAAATACAGGCTCCTGGATGACGCGCTCATTGACCGTAATACAATCCCAGCGATCGATTAGGTGGGGCGAAGTAAAGGAGCCGCACCGAACGCCGCCTGCGGTGAGAAGGGCGGAAAGGTATCCGGTGATTGAGCCTTTGCCATTTGTTCCAGCGACATGGACCGCCTTCCAATTCAGACTTGGCTTGCGGACCAGCTGGGTGACGCGAGAGAGGCCTAGTTCGATCATCTCAACGGAACTGAGGTGTGTCGATGTCTGATGAAGCTTCTGTCAGTACCATGGCGGAGCGGGTGATGCAGCGAAGATCTAGTGGGAAGCCTGCAGGGCAAGCAAAGCGTCTAGAGCAACATTTGTAGACAAAACAAAGCCAAAGCGCAATGAGAAGGTATCCAAACGAAAGTGCAATTCCGACATTTCAAGCATGTTCAAACAACGCTCCTGGCGTCCGTTTGGCGTCGACGCCTGTCTGTGGCACGTGATCCGCGCGTCCCACAACGAAGCGAGAGCGGCGCCTGACGCGCTGTATTTGCTGGATTCGCTGCGCGCAAGCCAGCCATCATCTCGGAGCATACTGGCGACGGGGCTCAAGATCCAGACTTCCCTGCCTTGCCGTCAGTTCCAGGCAGGGAGCACAGCACGCCAATCACGCCGCCAACGCCCACGCGCTGCGAAACACCGCAGGCGCCAAGCGGGCACTCCAGCCACTCACGCGCCGGCCGGAATTACTCGCTTCCGGCTTTAAAACGCTAGTGGCAGCGCTTAATACGCCAAGCGTACGGCTCGCCTCACTCTGTGCGGCGCGGTCGCCCCGTTATTTTCGTATTGGCGCCGTCTCCGAGTCCCCAGCCGCACCGTCAAAGCACTCTTGCGACAACGAAGACTCTCCCATCAGGTGCTCCCGGCCAACAGCATCTGGGATTCTGGGGGCGCTTCCCATCATATAATCTTTAATATAGAGTACTGCCTGGGTTTTTCTGCGGGAAATCAGAGACTTTGGTTGATTCAAGCTCGACTCTGTGCTATTGAGACCATGGGCATTCCGTAAGTCAAACACTCCGCACCCTTTCTATGTGTTTTGATGTCGAGTCTTCGCGGCAGTGTCCAGCAGTCTCAAATTCTTCTTACTGACTCTACCATTTTTAGACTTGTATGGGAACCTACTGCTTCGCGCGCCGAGCAGAATTCCAAACCGGACTCTTCAGCTATCGCTCGCTCGTCTATCAGACGACAGAACGCGATCCGTCGACCCCGACGCAACTATGGTACCGTTGAGAGCCGCGCGCGTAATGGTCGTGGCTCCTCTACCCGATGGTATCGAGCAGAAGCGATTGGAGCATTTGCGCGTCAAGCAGACCGTGAGCTCGGCTCTCGCGACCTGCGTGGCCTCAGAGTTAATACCTCGCCGACAGAAGACCCGGCGGCTCAAAACCTCATACCCCCTATTGCCAGGACTCAGCTGAGGCCGCAACTTTCCGAGGACCACTCCTCTTCGTCCTCTTTGGGCCGCCGGATGCAAATATCGAGAGACCCGTACCTGATGATTGAAATGCCAGTGCCGCTCGATTCATACTCCTCCTTTCCACCCACCGCTCCTCCGGTTCCGAGCGTGAGGCATGCTGCAACTGCAACCGGGCATATCGCTTTCACTCCTCGGTTTGCGCCCGCACATCCCACCGGCGAATTGTCTGCCCGCTCAAATACAGGATCTCCATCCACCACGCTTGATATACCGGGTTCAAATAATGTACCGTCGTTTCGTGGTCTTGGTCCTCGAGTCGTCCGCCGTGTAACCGATCGACGATCTGGGCGACGTCAGGAAGTTGATGGCCTCGGCGATCGAGAGCGTAGTCCCGCTCCTGATGAGGATGAAATGCACGATTCATGGGAAACGCTCCTGACCACGATTACCCCAGACGACCAACTCCCAAGTCTCGACTCCTCGTTTGCCTCTGCGACAGCGAGTGCATCCTCAGCACTATCTAGGAGCTCGGGACTATCCAACTCTGTTACTTCGTTACACACGCCAATGTCATCCATTCTCTCAGATACCCTAGAGACGTTTGACTTTGATCGGGAATTTCCAGACGGGCTCCCAGACGGGCTCCCAAATTGCGAATTTTCCAGCTCCGACTCGGATTCTGATACAGAACCTGAATCGGAACTTGATACGTCGCCAGCCAGGCTGGCTGCGGGCAGCGCAGAAGAAGAAGAGTCCGATCAAAGTGACAGCAGCTATGATCCGGCACAAATCGCTTCGGATATCGTGTCCTCCAGTTCAAGGCTAGAACAGGCGCAGATGATCATCGAACTATTAGCTATGCGGTCCGACATTCCAGACGAATGGTGGGCTACGGCAGGCCTGTCGCGAACCCTTCGCCGTGAACTCGGAATTACGAATACGGAAACCCAAAACAGCTAAAAACATCTCAGCAAACCTATCTCTCTCTTTTTTTTTTCTTCGGCCTGTTTCCTTTTGGCATGCTCGACGCGGATAAGCTGGCATTGTTCCGCTTCTCTTCTGCTCCGTTCTACCTGACACTTTCACTGGTATATGATTGACGACACTCACGAATCGGGACGATGCGGTTTCTGTTGTTGATCTATGGCTGCTGATCGGTTTGGTTATACTGGACTCCATCGTTCCTCGTTCACTTTTTGGGTTTTATTTTTCGCGATACTATCCGGAGCACTCCTGTTTGGCCCAGCTTTAAGCTTTCCGGTCATCCAGCCGTGTTGTTTCGAACTGAAATGGTCAAAATGTGTGGTATGTCGGTCCATCGGCCGCGGTGCATAATCATACTTGTACTCTCCGATAACCACGAAACCTGCGTGAATCGTTTTTTACCCGCATTTACCCCTTGTAATAGCGAAGGTCGAGCTGATAGCAAACGCGCGGCATTTTAGATGATAAATCCGGAAATGCAATTTGGCCTTCGCCTTGAATTTCAAATCGGCCTTGTGAATCAATGTAGTGTGCATCGATAATTTAGTGATAGGACTGAAAGGACACTGTAGTATCATGTTTCATGAATTAACTGAAAGATGAGGTAGACAAGACTAACTTTGGAAGGCGTCTTCAGAATATTTTAGACTCCCATTCCATGTATTGCGCGCTGTAGCGGAATTCCGACAGGGACGTTTACGAGTATCTATTATCTGCCCATTTCTCAAACTAAAAGGCTTCAAATATCCAGTTCGGCGCGTTTCCTCCCGGTCACATGACTTCCGCTAAGGCCGGATTAGGAAACTCTACTTGGACATCACGTCTTTCAACCAACTTGTGTTCTCCGTTCGCACCTTGAGTTTTTCCTTTCAGTGATGAATATATAAGGACGGAGCCCATTGATAGGCGTGGAAAGGGTCGATCGTCGATGAATCTATAGATAATTCAACGGCAACCAAGTCAAAATCTCCACACTCAGCGTGCTCCTTTCCGCTCCGCTTTACTAGAGGCCCGCTCTTCACTATGTTTGCCAACAGGCATGGTTGAAATATGACACTTTTGATTTCTTCCATCCAGGGGTTCCGTGGCGTGGACGGCCTGGGTTGCTGATGGGCTGGGTATCAGCAAGGAAAAGATCATAATTGCCGAGGGGGTCGACAACATCCGTGAATCATGCGTCAATCAACCAACTGTGGCCCGAGAGGTTGCGCTTGGGGGGGAAGATAGGTTTTCATTCTGCCTCGCCCAAGTGCTGCAAACATGTGATTTCCAGTCTGCATTTCAAACTGGAGTCGGGCAGGACGACCTATGGAAAGCCATCAACCGGGACCCTGATTGATGTTGCCAGGATTCGAGTCCCCTTAGACACAACACTGGGGCCCTATGCGGAGTAAAGTCTGATAGAAGTGCCCAGTGGTGGACATTTTATGTCACAATTCGCTCCACTGAGATGCGTCACTGCAAACTCCATCCTCTCCCCGCCCTATGAGCGTGCTTCTACTGGGCGTTTTCCACAGCCACTCGAGAACAAGCGCAACTTCCTTAGAAGCCGCAAATCCCGGTTCAGTCCTGCGATATGGGCTCTCGAGAACACTTGATATTTATCTGCTTCACTCACTTCGGGCTGCGTTCGAAGTTCTCAAAATGCATATTCCGGCTAACTAGGCCGCTGTGTTCATTATATTCAATGAAGTTGGCGGCGACGATCCCTTCTTTGTGACTTCATGGAGAGGAAATGCTTTGGCAGCACTGCAGTACTCCCGCTGTTCGTCGTGGAAGGTTGTAGATGAAGACTTGAAATTTCAAATTGCCGATGCGGACGTCGATTGTGCCATTGGTTCTGTCAAAATTGCTCTTTGCTGCTGATGCCTTCTCCATTTACAGCAACCCGTGTATCTAGAGCTGCGGAACCTCTCGATATGAAAAGATGCCCTGATCTCGTGAAAATTGAATGCATGATACCCTCGAAGCTTTGCTGAAATTCGATTTACGCCAACAAAATCGATGCGATCCCACGTCAACCTCTCCCAAAGATCCTGCTGCTTGCTGGGTCAATAGAACGAAGATACGTGTGCCAGGCTAGGAATCAGGATCACATCATTCCACTGTGCGCCAGGGTACCTTCGGTGTTATACCTTGTTGCAAATACACTTTCGCTCCGATTTCTTAATCGTCTGAAGGAAGAAAAGGAGGATCGTTGATGCTACTGACGCTGGAGATAACATAACGCCGGTTGGCCGAGTTAGTTACTGTATTGCCCAGCGTCAAGAGTGGCCAATCTTTGCTACTATGTTGGATGGTACTCCGTACCAAAGAGCTTCAAGTCCATTCTTATTGAGTCGCCATCTGCAACAGAGGTCCAGAGGAGCCCGTGATCTAAAAGCCGATTCCTGATTGAAGCTGTAAAAGTGGACTGGTTAACCCCACCCAACTCTCAGAATCTTAACAAGGATCATTGTTGATGGGTCATCCATTGGTTGGCATCTGATCCTTGAATTTGCAGCCAGTCCAGCGGGCCAGATCCTTGACGCCTCTCAAATTCAATTGCTGAAGTTTGAATCTCCATCTCCTTCAAAGGCCTCCTGCTAGAAATGGGATTTTTTTTGGAGGTCTGATAGACGATCGTTTTCTATATATGGGAGACGACAACGCGATACACCAGGCACGATAGCCGTGATTAAAAGTGTCCATCGACCAACATATTAAATAATTATGTATGTATGTACACGCAAGGATCCTCCAGCAGAACAAATGCCCGAGACGAAACCAAGCATTCGCATTGAAAACACCATGGAACCCCTTGATAATCGCAGCGCGTGATTCCATTCTGGGCTTTTGCTTGCCTCTTCACTTCAATTTTGTCCGAATGTTTCGGCCTTGGACATGCGCGACAGGACCAAAGTATTTGTGGCGCGCCACGAATACGAAATGAATTCCCGCGATGACCAAAGCCCCCATAAAGATTGCCGAAGCCCAATTGAAATTCTTCGCGGTCACGTCGTAGAATGTCGGCCAAAATGCCCAAAAGAATGCGAATAATGCATAGAGCACGGCAGCAATGTTGATCGGAACACCCATTTTACCTAAGGGGAATGTGGCTGGTGGGAGCGTTTCAGGGCGGACAATACGACGCCATAGTATGCATCCGATGCTGAGGCAATAACATTGGAGTAAAGCCACAGTGAGAAGCGAGGTCATGGCATAGAACGCGACGGGGCTGCCGATGTAAATCAAGCTGAGGGCGATGCTGACGGCGCTGGTGACAGAGATCGCATTTCTGGGAATGTGACTCTTGCTGTCGACTCTCGATATCCAGTCGGAGAAGGGGAAACCTTGGTCTCGTGCAAAGGCCCAAATATCTCGCGTGACCGCAGCAAGATAAGTCATATTGGAGCAAACCAAAAGGCAGAGCACGAACGTGAGAACTACTGTCATCCACTCCTTTGACATGGATTGTCGGAGGATATGGATAATGGGGTACAGGGTAGGATCATTGAGACCTGCGTTTATATCTGGAAGATGGTAGGCGACTGTGAGAAAGGTGGTGAACGCTAAAACTGAGTTCACCAGCCAGATGGCGATCATCGCCTTTGGAACTGCTTTGGAAGCATTCTTGACTTCTTCAGACATATGAGCAGCCAGTGAGGGGGTTAGCGTTATGCATTGCTAATGCCTGTCAGAAGGTAGCTTACTGTATCAAGACCTAGCTGGGCAAACATCGCAGTTTGTTGCCCGATAAGCACGGCGACGCCGTTGCTGGGCCAGCCTCCATCGAACGTGAAGTTTGCCCAAACATTGGAAGATGGGGCCCGGGGTGCGTTCACCCAGATTGGGATGAGAATTCCTAGGTAGACCAGCACATGGAGACTGAAAACCACATTCTGCCACATGTGTAGGAACTTGGCACCAAGGGTGTTTCCGATATAGGCGACTGTGACTGCCGCGATGGCAAGGAGCGTCGTGTGCCATTGCGGAAACGTATATGCCTCGTTGTGAAGGGAAATCAGAATCTGAACTATCGACCCGACAAGGAAGACGCCGGCTGCATTTCCCGCTTGCCATGCAAGCGTAGAAGTCCATCTAACAGACAATTAGCTCGTTGCCAAAGACCGAAGCACAGGGAATGGGCACCATATCCTACCCGGTAAGATAACTAAGACTTCTTTGCAGGCTCTCTGGAGAGAACTCGCTGACCCAGTGATACTGGGCTCCGGCGATTGGTGCCATGCTCGACAACTCCGCCATACTGAGGTAAATTGGACAAAACCCAACGACGTTCCACAGAATGCCGTAGATCAGTGCTGGCCGGCCGCCGTTGGTCAGGGCCGCTGTGACATTGAAGAGGGCAAACTCCCACGTAGCCGTGGCGACGGCGACGAATGAAGCCATCGATAATACCCGGAATCGTCGAACAAGCTGTTGCTCCTTTCCCATCCGCAGCATATTGGCGACATCCGCCGAAGTCGACTTGAAGCCATTGTGTTCGTTGCGCTCTGTGTCGACGTCCACAGGTGCAGCGCTGAGGTCATATTCGGCTTTTTGCTGGTGAGAGGTCATTTCGAGCGTCTCTGACCCAGAACCAGGAGCCATGGTGGTGCAAGAAATGTACAAACTTGAAGATCGCAGGTTGTCAAAAGAAAAGAAACAGGCATTGACACTGAAAAGAGCGGGCTGACAGGGGGGTATAAAGTTGAAAACAATCTCCCTTTCTCAACTCCATTACCCCAATGCTCGCAAGAACACCCTCCTTCCACTAAGCGACAGCAACTTATGCACGTCCAGGCATGTCGATGCGCCACGGTCGAACCGACCTCCAGGGTCGCCATACAGAATTCCGACCCAGAAACTCTCCGCAAGCCGGGCCGGCGCCCGCCACGCCACGCAGAATCATGCATGGCAGCCACGAGCCGAAATGAGAAGGGAACAGCCGAGAGTTGGATTTTCTTTTTTGTACTCCGTACGGAGTAATTTTTAAAGGAAGGATTTGATCCTTGAACAACTCCCTTCCGGAGTTTTACTAAGGCAGAGCCCACAGAAGATTACCCAATCAATGTTGGTAAAAGGCTACAGGTCGTGAGTTAGCGTTGGGGCGGCTCATGATTCCGGGGCACGTTTCTAAAAGACAACTAGTTAGTTAACTAATAATAACAGTTGGGCACCAAAGGGGTTATTGTCGAACCTTGGGAATACTGTTGCTGGTAACTTCCGCTGAGCTTAACGAAGAACGATGATATAAACTAACCTAGCAGATGCGACTCAAGGGCAGGCTGAAGCAATTGTCATAGCAGTGCATTTGTCTCCAAAAGCGCGGCTTCCCAGGCCCCTGGAGAAAGATTCGTCTCGGTACGGAGTAGACCAGTCGATTTTCAAATGAATACACTCAGACATTCTCCAACGCTGGCAAGGATTTAATTCGCCGCGACTTTACGAAGGAGTTCTTGTGATATTAGGCTCAACCTTGCAAGACTTGTTTTGGAGGCGTCAATCCCAGTTCATCCCCCCGTTGCTTGTTTCTTCCAACCCGCTGGCAAGGGTCGTAATTCGCTACGGAAGGCGGATCCGGATCGTACGGAGTACGCTGCGATTCAAATCAAATTCTTTTCCTGGACTTTGAAATCCGACATATTTAACACATTATATTGAGAATGTTGGCTGGCAAGGAGTCCTTTGGCCCTGACCCAGGCTTCGAATCTTACTGATAAACCGAAGCTGTCGCAACGGCAGTCGCAGTGGAACAAGCCGGAGCATGATATGACCCTCGTCCCAGGTCTCAGAGACTCCAAGTTGTCGGAGTCCAAGTGAGCTTCCCAAGCAGGCAGAGGATGGGGGACCGTGGTCCCTGGCTCGGCGTCGCGACAGCATTATTCTTCGGCTGGGCAGTTCTATCATGCATTGTGAGGTTATGGGTGACTCTTGGGAGGAAACAGAGCTGGGCGTACTCTGATACCAGCATCGTTAGCGCTATTGTTGGTATCCAAATATCAAAAGGAGCCACATTCATCGTCTGACTGCTATTTAGATTTTCGCGGTACTGCATGTAGCAGCGAACTTTTGTGCCATCGGTGAAGGCTATGGGAGGTCGGCAGACGAACTCGGAGAGCTACACAGGAGCAATGTCGAGAAGGTATGTTGCATCATTCTAGCTCGAACTCGACCTTTCGTCCCTCTATTCTAACATCGCGTAGGCACTTTTTTCAAGTCAAATAACCTACATCTGTTCCATGGGCTTGACGAGAGTTTCTACGGCACTTTTTATAGGGCAATTGACCCGTCAACCATCCCAAGTCCGAACGTCATGGATTTTGGCTGGTATCTCAGGCGGATGGACTGCGACTTCAATACTTGTAGTTGCTCTACGGGGCGAGTCCTCGAAGCCTTGGACGGTGCTGGATGGTACCCAAGCACTCGTACGCTTTGACATCCCATTTCTAGTTTTGGGATGACCTGACCTCTGACTTGCCTGCAGTTCTCCCGATGGATTGCAGTCGAATCTACAGGGCTCGTTATTGAGGTTGCACTCTGGGCACTTTCTCTGTCCCTGATCTGGGGTCTCCAGATGAAGCCCCAGAAAAAGCTGTTGATCCTTGCGGCGTTTGGCTGTCGACTTATGTACGGGTCCCATCCTGTCGGGTATATGGCTGAAGACTAATAATTGATACATTCTGCAGGCTTATCCCCATCATTGTAGCGCGCCTATTTTACTTATCGCCGAGTGAAAACGTTGATCCAGCTCGAATTGTCATTATGATCCCCCAGATCCTGACAGAAGTCGCTATGAACTATTCGCTCCTTGCTACCTCTATCACGTCTCTCAAGCCTTTTCTCAAGCCTTTCCATACGGGTGCCATTATCAATACCATTGGAGGGGAAGGATCGGGGTTGTATTCCAGCTCGCAAACGAGGTCCCAAGGTATCTACACCCTCGCATCGATGTCAAAGGATCGAACGGAGGTGAGTGAGACAGCATCCGCGACTCACGATTCCTTGCTGACAATGATAATCAGGTATCGACCCCTGGCGGAGAACTCTACAGTAGCAATACAGGCGAGGTCACAACAGTGGTTTCATCGCAGCCGCACCAGCATCGCGGGGAGCGCGAGTCATTGGACTATGTCGGTTCAGGGCAAATGGTCATCGAAAGAACCACAGAGTGGAACATCCACTACAACAGGAATGGACAATATCCCTGACTCAACTCATCCCATGTATTCGAATTTTGAAGGCGTCGGTGAGAAGGATGCAAACTTGATTTGGATTGCGAAAAAAAAAAAGGAGGATGCACTACGGAGTATTGTAATTGGCTTCCAGTTTCTTTTTCAACAACCAACACTGCCACAGCATGCCGGCAATAATGATCACCTTATTATTGAAGAGGCGCACTCGGCAAATGGCCCACTTAGCACTGCGGGGCGGAACCCTATTCCGCGGGCCGGGATTGTGAACCCTGCTCTCGGGTCCAGACCTTCATTATTATTCAGAGCAGTTCCTCCCCGGATAAGCCCCCTCGACCTCGTGGGAATATCCTGCATGAGAAGCCTCTTGTGGAGTTGATGCAAGAGATGCATTCAGGAATTTTTGCAGCGTGTCCTTTCCACAGTGGGGGCAGTTCTGTAGTTAAGCGGGCACGGAGGGAGGATTACTAGCTACATAGCTACTCCGTACATACGTACGGATAAGATACCAAGAAGAATTGCTTAAGAAAAGAAAGAGCTGAGCGCGAGCGGGCCAAATATAGGCACTGTGCGGTCCAAGAAAAACAACGCATTGGTCCAATAAGCGAGGTTCAGCTGAGAACCGGACAGGATTCGGTCCAGGCGGCCAGGCCTTTCCATGCGGCCGGACGGGATCTGAACGAAACATTGGAGGATCCCCCGCGCATTGCCGCAGGGGCCAACCTGCAACAAGTTGTCACTATTATGATTATCCTCCTTTGATTATATCAACCGAAACATTTAACTCATTTACTCGTCTTCGTTGTGGTCATCAAAAGGCCAATGCTGCTGCAGCTCAGTCATCCGCCTCAGCCATGGGTCGTCATCAACCGCGGCAAGCCCCAACGCCTTGATCGACCGTGCTCTCTCTTTTGCTTGTCAAACGATTCATTTGATGTCCATCCGTCAGGCCCAACACCAAGGAACTCATTGATCCGTTCCAGTTCAGAGTCCACATCCCGCAGTGAATCATCCCGTGCTGTCCTCCTCTGCGCATCCTGCTCGCTAATTACAACAGGACATGCGGGGAGGTTTCCATCTACAGACAACAGCAATCTTTGGCCAATTCTGTGAGACCCGTGTGATATCAACTTGCAATGGGGTGTTGAGGCCTTCCCCATGGACTGCCTGCACTGTCAAATATCTGACATCTTAGAAGACCAAAATCCTGTTCAAGGGCCTCTAGATAAAACTCATTTAGTTTCTGCATGAAACCCAGATAAAAGAAGTGCGTGTGACGGCGGCGGGACTGCTCGTATGCCATAGCATGCTCTTCTGCATCCATGGTACCAAGATCTTTGGGGAGTTGCGGTGGAATGAAGTACATGGACTGCTCATCACCATAGTTCTGAAATGATCGCGGTAGTCATACCAGCAGCAAAAAACATGGGAAGAACCAAAGAGCGCTGCCAGTCGATAAGGCCCGTGATCTTAAAGTCGACTCGGTGCTTACAGCTGCGATAGCTTAGCTGGGGCGCATCGCAGTGCGACAACAGAATGCCATACATGTTGGGACAGCATAGGAGAGAGCAAGACTTGAGATGGGTTTGATTCGACTGAGAATATAGATTTGAGTCACTCTCTCATAAGAGATACTCAGACCTCTAATCATGGAGCGTGATTTCTCGAATGCTTGGCCAACGAACCCACGGGATGACCGTTCGGTCCAGAACACGCACGGTCACGGCCCAACCACAATCCCGGGTCGCGACCACTTGCGCTTATTAATCTCGCGGCGCGCCTGTGCCAAGACAGTCGGGTGTTTCGGTTGCCGACAGGGGAGCCGGGCCGTACCTTGATAGTACAGCACGGCTCCGAACAGACGCGTGCAAAAGCCACTGGCCCTGCTGAGAGTGCTGTTGGGGTTGCTGTTTTGGGTATATCCAGAAGACTCGGGCTACTTCTAGTACATACGACCATAGGAAGTGGAATCTAGGGCTTCCCGTCCGCTCAGCCGTACTCAAACCGCTTGCCGGCAGGCTAGTAATTGGGTGGGAGACCACCAGTGAATCCCTGCTGTTGTATGTCTTGTTTTTTTAGTGGCCTGTTGGTCCCCCCTTCAGGGGAGATGATTGTGTTATTGACATCAAGCACAGGTGGTCTCTCTTGAGGACGACATTGCGACTTCGTGGGAAGGTAATAATCCGTCTTCCCGGCTCCAAAGAGAGGCCTATTCCACAACCTATTCTCCCTATTCCGTCGAGTCCACGATTCGAAAGCACTCCCTTGGTTTGAATCAAGAAGTGACCACCAAAATCCCCTCAAGCCGTCAAGTTGCTGATTATATAGTTAATCAGAGAATTCCTATCGTCGGTTTTGTGTCAGCTCCTCTTAATCGGGCTGATGCGGTATCAAACATTTCTTCCCGGTCCATTGGTTGGTTGGTTACTAGTTAGCCATGATGCAGTTCTCATGCTTTACGAGAATTTCACTGTCGCTGGCCCGTTTCCCTTATTTTCGATCTTTCCCTAGGCACAAGATGTCTACCACAACGTCTCGCGGAGTCCCTCTCAGCAGGGGCACAATGCTCACTAGTGACCTTGGGAGAAGTTACAGAATCGAAGAAGTCCTTGCTGGTCAGAGAGGCTCCCTCCTGTGTGTATATCGCGCAAGGTATATTTAGTTTACTTCCAAACGCTTTATCGCTGTTGACTGTGAAGCGCAAAGCACTGGAGGAAAGAGCTACATTATAAAGAATATGATTCCGGGAGAGTTCGAATATCAACTGAACCTGCAGAAGAAACTATCTTCTTGCCCTGGTGTACGAGCAGTAGTGGATACTGTTGAAAAGCTCGAGTTGTTTATCTACCCCTTTTTACGTGGCAACTTGCTTTATTTGAGTCAGAAAGATCTATCCAACAAAATGCGGATTGACATTCTTCGGAGTGCTTTACTTGGTCTAGCTGAGATACATGATAGGGGGATTCTCCATAAAGGGAAGTTTGACAATTCTGTAAAGTGTTTTGTCTATCTTACTGACTGCTCAATAGATATCAAGCCGAACAATATTCTCGTAGACTACGAGCAAAGTGCTGAAGGTCAGGTCACCATCAACAACGTTATGATCTCACCTCTCGAGGATACAGTCATTGTACCACCCGGGAAATGGCTGATAGGCCCGCTTTGTGGTAATGCATTTTGGAGGAGCCCTGAAAGCTGGTGCCGTTCCCGCCAGAATCAGGCCTCAGATGTGTTCTCATTTGGCATTGTGGTATAGTTGCTCCTCCCGAACAGCCACATTCTTTCAACGCTTTGCTAATACCCTGTGCAGATGATATACGTTATGGGCCATGAAATGGTCTTCCATGTTAGTGACAAGGAATTAAAAGCTGCCGACTCGTGGCAATATATCCTTCGTCGACATATCTCCTATTTTGCTGACGAGGACGGCTTGACACACTGGAAGAGAAAGCCCCTTTTATGAACGCCTCATAAACCTTGCCAACAGCTTTACACCCGGAAATGGCAGGCAGCCGTTTGAAACCTGGGATTATGTGGATCCAAGTCTCAGAGATCTCGTGGGCAAAATGACAGATTTAGACCCAAGGAAGAGGATTACGGCGAGAGAGGCACTTCAACACTGCTGGTTCAGACCAGGAGCCGACAGAAACCACAAATGATATACCCCATGTTCACCAGAGTTTTGACCTTTGGCTTAAGCGTGTCTAATTGATACCTTGAGAAGAACTTTTTGGTTCAGTCACTATGTCTATTATGATTGACGTTGGCATGATTAGCCAGCCTCGAGCCTTTCTAGGTCTGCATGTTCATGCTTCTATCGTGCCACTTGCTTGCCACTTAATGTTGTAAGACTCCACACTATCTTCAACTGGGTAGAATAAGTTGCTATCAACTAATCATCCGGATCCCTTCCTCTACTTATCCTTCCTGGCATCTGATACCACCAAAACCCTCTAGCTGAACAACAACTAATCTCACAATATATTCCGCACGTGAGGACATATGGCTGCAGGTGGAATGGGGGCCGAGAGTCCGAGACATTATTGCTACCCCCTTCCCGCTGGTCCTCCATGGCTTGGTGACTTCAACGAATACCGATAGCATGGTGCTGGAAGCCCGGCTGTAAAATGATGCATCCTAGTAAAGTCCTTCTTAGTGATGGTGTTGTCGTGCGTGAACCGCTTCAGGATAGCACTTCTCTCCCTAGGCCTGTATATGTTTTTTATGGTTAGCAAAGGTAAAGGGTACTAGTCTAGTAGAGACGATGCCCCGACGAGGAGGTAGGAGGAACCAGGCAAGAAATTCTAATGACTCTAATGACGGCTGCTCATGCTCTCTGGAGATGGAGTCAAACACCATGGATGCGCTCAATTCAGACGAAAAGGACGTAGGATTACTGCGCCTCAGTGAACTGAAAGAGGACAGCAGAATGGGTTTAGGCCACTTTGCGGATCAGACTTCTAATCGCCAGTGCCCGTGAGCAAAAAAGACGAAAGCAAACAAAGTATTTATTGCGGTCGGCACATATAATTCTCAGGGATTGATGCGCGGCAACATCACTAGTTAACAGCTTCCCTACAAATCTCTACTGGCGCATGACTTGTGTCTCGCCCAGTTCACTCATTTCTGTGTTACCATTCCATGGTTGTCGTCTTCCTTTTGATGCCCCTAGTCAAGTGCGGAGGGCTGGGAAGGGATAGAAGGTCGACAGATAGCGTCCAACTCTCATTGGAGACAACCAGAAATACGGGAACAGGAGGCTGCTGGAGGCGTGTTCAAAGCTGTGGAAGATATGCTGAGGGCTATGGTGACATATGAACAGGAATACTGATGGCAAAAAGCAGCTCATGGCATCTGGCTACATGGGAGCCATGCGAGAGTGCGGGAGACAGTGGATAGGCCTTCTATTCCCTCGTTCGAGATTTCAACCCCCAGCGGAGTGGCGGCAGCAAGGTTGAACACGAGCGATGGAATGATGTGATTGCTGCTCGACCGTTATTCTGATGCATGCATACATAATTAGGGCATGTCCAGCCGCCGGCGTTTTGGAACGTGAAATCGGCCAGCGAAAACCGGAATTTACAGAACCGCAGGCTGAAATCTCCAGAGAGCGCTCGCGGATGAGGGTGGCATACGTCTGCTCGGGGTGAATTCCCCAGAGTGATGGGTCGTGGCAAGGCAAGTCTGTTCAATTGCAGCCCAGTTGTCATGGATATCTTTAGGTGAGTTTAGGGACACCGCATCTAAATGAAAATGCGGTTAACAGGTCTTCAGCATCTAATCGAAACTTGCTGGAGCTGCAGCTACAGATTTCGGCACTGTTGCTCATACGAGATCTCCCCAAGAGGCCCAAGCCCCGTTTCCCAAGCTTTTAGTTGACCTCTTGAAGCCCGTCTTCCGGAAGCGGCTCCCTGAAACCTACAGACACGAGAATCTCAGCACGGGTTGAAGATCCCAACCTACCCCGATCAGGTCTACCACTGGTTATCGCTGAAGAGGCCTCTCCATGATACAAACTGTGGCAACTTTGACACTTCTTTCGAGAAAAACTGCTCTATATGAATCTTTCAGCCTTCTCAACGCTTCCAGTGTTTACTTGCTGTGAATAGTGTCAGAGAGCTCTTTTTTCCTTAGGGCGTTGCTTCCGCCAGTTGGCTTGACTGTTGGCCCTATGTCCTCAGCCGTTGACAGGGACATATGCCCGGAGCTGCCGGTGAGAGTGAATAATGCACTCAAGTAACCCGCCTCGGCTTGTGCTTGATAACAAAAAGTCTGAGGTTGTATGCCAAGATCACGTCGATGCTGGGCTTTCAGCATCCCAGCACTGGATCTGGCTCATCTCATGAGCGCAATATCGGCACGATTGAGCTCGACTGCACAGGAATCGACTCTCTAGGGAAACTCAATCCCACGTATACTATCACCCAAGTCCTGCCAGTTTTCAGCACCAAGTCTCGATCGGGAGTGTGGAGCGTTTATCCGATGCTTGCGAGCGCATTGGTGTCTCATGATGCTTGGTGATGTCTGGGCTCGCAAGCTAGCTATGACTCCACGGTAGGATTTGTTACTTAATTTTTTGTGGATAGCTAACTAGCTAATAATCCTTAAGCAGATCAGAAACAAAAGAAAGACAAGGCTACCTGGTTCGCCAGCAAATAATGATTGATAGCACTTGCGGGCACTTCAGGTACCATCGAGTCTACTTTGCTCTCAAACTAAATAATCTCAAGGTGCCGGTGTCTCCGCCGAAATCCGACTATATCAACGAGAGATGAGCTTCTGATTGATGCACAAGGCGGCCGTCATCCCTGGTCGACGCAGCTTGCTGGCCTCGAATCCAAAGTTTAAACAATAACTACCCATGAAGGATTCTCTCGCCGATACTGCATATTGGGATCATCATGCCCCTGTCCTTCCATTCCACATCGGCGTCTGCTTTTTGTCACAGCGAACCTGGGTGTCTCTGTGGAGCATTGTTTTCTCCCCAAATTCGTGAGACACATACGAATCGCTGCTGAGATACCCCAGACTTTATCGGCATTCAGACCCGATCAGATCATGCGGAGCATCGTGATGTTGAGGAAACATGGGAGGTAGATCCCTATCGTCCAATTCGTCGCTCTACTTCGGTTTAAACAGGAACGATGTTGAAACAACTGCTGTTATCATGGACTTATATATTCCTTGCCCTCGACCCGACTGAACGATGGTTTGGGCGTCGAAACAAGGACACTGTTGGATGACAGATCTGGAGAATCGACCAAGATGCGACCCTTTAGCCCTCTTTGGGCTTCTTGCCTAGCTGCCTTCTTCACCGTTAACACTGGTGTCGCGGTTGCGCAGTCTCCGCCCAATCCCAATGCCACATGGCCGCTCCAGTCGTTTCAAAGCACGGACATTCAGACGCCCTACCTTAACGTCACAAAAAACGGTAAGACGGAACTCGGATACCTATTTTTCACCCCACGGGGCATGAACGGTGGCCATTCTTCTATCTTTGAAGACAATGGCCAACTTGTCTGGCAGGGTCCCAAAGGTGCTATTTTTGCTTTTGAACCGCAGATGTTGGATGGAGAGCCAGTGCTAGTCTATTGGGACGGCGTGCTCAATGGCACAGGCTACGGATACGGCTCTATCAATATCCTCGACAATACATACCAACGAATCCACGAGGTCACCCTTTCTGGCGAGGACTTCAAAACGTCGTACGAGCCGCGAACGTTTCCGTCCTATATTAGTATCCATGAGGGCTTCATCACTGAAAAGGGATCCATAATTGTAACGGCGGTCAACGTCACGCAGTTTGATCTTGAGTCCGTTGGCGGCCCGCGGGACGGCTGGGTGATGGATTCGCTGATTTACGAGATCGACATCAAGACCAACAAAGTATCATTCCGCTGGAGCGCCCTAGAACATATCTCCGAAATTCCGTTCGACTTATCCCAAAAGCCACTTGGTGGTTCGGGCGTATCTGAAAAAGATCCTTGGAACTACTTCCACCTAAACTCCGCTGCGAAATACGGGGATTCTTACCTCGTGTCATTCCGTTACGGATGCGCTGCTATCCTTATTGCCCGTGATGGCACTGTTACCTGGCAGCTCAATGTAAGTCGCGTGGTCTTTCCATACTTCTAGCGCTTTGCAGCAAGCTATTGCCAGCTTTGAAACTTCAGAGTTATTGTACCCGTCGCTAACCCGTATGGCTTTTGTTCAATAGGGGCTCGCTGGCGGTGACTTCGAAATGGGCCCTGACACAGGCTTCTGCTATCAGCATGAGGTCCGTCTTGCAAGTCTGAGCAAGGACAAGGCCGTCTTCTACGCCCATAACAACGAAAATTCGGACTTCACCAACATGACAGAAACAACAACCGGATTGGTCCTGGATCTCGATCTAAAAGCCATGACAGCTTCCTTGAGCCGAAAACTGTGGAACTCTCAGCATCCCGTTGCATCTAGGGCCCAGGGGAGCTTCCAGAATCTTCCCAACAAACACGTATTGCTGGGCCACGGGGTGATCCCAGTCATTGAAGAATACGACGAACACGGCGCGCTGGTCATGGACGCCCGCTTCGGGTTCGACAACACTATCTCCACCTACCGAGCATACCGTCATTTCTGGAAAGGCGTACCAAAAACCAAACCGAGTGTCAAAGCATGCCGCGACGCAGAGACTAAAGAGGTGGTGGTCTTTGTGAGCTGGAACGGAGCGACGGGTGTGGAATCATGGAAGCTCTATAAAAGCCCACGTAGATGGTGGCCCAAGCTTGTCAAGACTGCGCCGCGGAATGGGTTTGAGACAATCATCCGCGCGCGAGATGCTGGTGATAGGATTGTTGTCAAGGCAGTCGGCGGCCCGAATAACGGAGTGCAATCCGAGGTGATCACCGTGGACGGTGGCTGCAACTAAGCGCAAGATCATTAGACGTGAGGAACCTGTAAATAGTGCGAACTAATACCATATGTTTATTCTCAAGCGAGGCCGCGATCCGTCATGGATCCTTTCTTCATTACCTGGTTCTTGACAGTCACAATCTCCTTTCTCTGGAGACATCAGCTATTACTAGTAGTATCATCTGGTCCCGAAACATTCAATGTCGAGGTCTTTCTTTATCATCAGGCAGATCAAACCCAGACTGGGATCATCACACACCCGCTTCTCGCTCATCTCAAACGCCTCCGCCGCGTTACTTATCGATGACTTCACTTTGGTTGGGCCAGCCTTGCTACCCTTTCGTCTCCTTCATGCGAATAGTGTCACGGCGCTGTGGAGCACAGCTTGGTCAGTTAACTAGTTACTCGGGGCTTTTTCGGCTGTTTGAAGTTTTGCTAGGCCATTCCAGGAACATAAAATCCCGGTAATTAGCCAATGGGGAAAAGGGATGCATGTACGGAGTCGTGTTTGATCGCCCTTGAGATGATCGTATCTGCTTCGTGGCTGGGTACTTTCATGTTAACTGGTTACGAGCCGGTCATGTCTTTATTCTGGAACGGATGATGCGGGCTTCGGTCGATTACAGAGGCCTTTGATAGTTGCCGAGTGGCATCGAGCAGCAGCCTTCTCGCCCGGGGCTAAAGGTACTAGAGTTTAGTTGACCGATAGATTTTCCTCATTTTTCTACAGAAGGGCAAGATGGGGCAATTAATCGGGAAAGATGAAAGAAACAAGAAGATGGAAATCCCAGCAATCCAAATCGTACAAAAATGCAGTGATCAACAGAAATGAGAAATAGGCATAAATACATAAATTGGCCACTCGCACAAGGTGTAGACCCCAAAGCAGGGGCAAGCCAAAATCAGACATCAAGAGAAGAATGTAGAATCGGAACGAATATGTTTGTGGTTACATCGTAAAGAGCTCGTTTTTGGAGTTATTCAAGCGACGAACTCCCTTCTCGTAAAGGAAACGCGTGATGGTCTCCATATCCTGTTGGCCTGGTCGCCGCGCCGGGTTGCAGTGCCTTGGCGAACTTGCGCACCCCCTGAAGTGCGGATTGTTGGGCCAGCTCTCCTACCTCCAGTGTTGCCGCCAGTGTTGCCGCCAGTGTTGCCGCCAGTGTTACCGCCAGTGTTACCGCCAGTGTTGCGTCCAGTGTTTCCACCCGCGCCTCCTTGATTTCCACCCGCACCGCCTTGGTTTCCTCCAGCATTTCCACCGTTGTTGCCGCCGTTATTGCCGCCATTATTGCCGCCGTTGTTGCCGCCGTTGTTACCACCATTGTTACCGCCGTTGTTGCCGCCGTTATTGCCGCCGTTATTGCCGCCGTTTCCTCGGCCAACTGTGAACTTCTGACAGTCATCTTGGGCACCGCGTTGCGCAACCTTGAAATGCTGTTAGCTACTTTTTGATAAAATCAACCAAAGATGGAAGACATACAGGCATGAGAACAGGTTGATGGTTAGAAGCAGAGCTCATGGTGCACACGCGGTATGCACCAGGAGGTAGTCCACCTTCAACAGTAGCACTGAGACCACCTCTGCCATTTCCGGCATCATTAATACCTTTGAAAAAGACAAACTGCTCGGCGTTAGGAGCATTTTGAGTAGCAAGATTGTTACCCAGGGATTGGATAGTAACGTGGGTATGGCCGACAATCCTCCCGCCCTGAAGCTCTTGCGGTGCTGAATAATACGTATTATCGGGGTTGGTAAAGGAGCCAGCAACCAAGTTATCGACCTGGAGGTTGACATTAAAGTCCGTATTCGCAGGCAAATCTTCCCCAGGGCCGGGATTAGTGATAATAGTCGAAACCATGTTATTCTTATTTGGGATATCTCCCATTACTATTGCAGAGTCAGCATGATGAAACCAAAGACATGAAATATAGATGGTGACAACAAACCAATTCCGTTACAAGAGCCACCCTGGTTTTGTAGGCCATTGGTTAGAGTTTTCCCCGTGCAGAAATTGATGAAATTTGCGTTGTCGCTATGATCTGTTAGTATAGCCCCATAATACTAGAGAAGCCGCATACGTACGTGTTCGAAGCAGCTTGCCCCTCTTCTCCATTGGCACTCCCGTCGTTCTTACTGCCTTGCTGGACGTTATCAGGATCTAGCAACAGCTCATTCTGGTTGCCCTGATTGCCCCCATTGTTGCCGCCGTTGTTACCGCCATTGTTACCGCCGTTGTTACCGCCGTTGTTGCCACCATTGTTGCCGCCATTCCGCTGATTTCCTCCGTTTTGGCCTCCATTTCGTTGTTGACCCACGACGCCACTAAGCAGGCTCGATGAAATTAACAACGCAAAGACAAGTCTTTTGGCAAACATGGTGGAAGCCGTTTGCTGGTAAGGTTTGAGTTGAAAGTAGGCGCTGAGTCCAGTCAAGAAGCCGAAGTGTAGCAATCGAGCGACCAAGAATATTGTCCAAAGTAACACCGCTCTATCAAAGATCGAACGAAAAGCGTTCGCCGGTAACGACAATATCGAGTGGGAGAATTAAAAATAAAAGAAAGCAAAGATCCACGGTCAACGTGAACCCATTAGGTAGCGGACGGTTGGAAGTAGAGAGGGAAACTTGATATAGAATGAAAGTAATCCCCTGAGCGATTGTCTTCAACCAGTGCACTGAAGAAAAAGTCACGATGAAAATGACTGTGAGAAGAAGCGAAAAGACGCAGGAGGAGAAGGAGAAATAGGCAAAGGAAATTGGGTGATAAGTAGGAGATATTTGAAAGGCCAAGCCGGTGGGACAAACATAGCTTCCCACACACTTGTACTGAGGAGAATTATGAGCGTGATTCTGGCGTCTTGAAACCCGACTTGACGTCCTCGCTGTCACAGGTTACATTGCGGAAGTTTGGTGTCCATGGCCCAGAGGGGAAAGGCGCAGGTCCTTTTGGGAAACGGGTTTGCCTAAAAGAAGCACGCCCGACCAATTTCGGAGATCCCAGGCCTCGGAGATGCATTGATGCTGACCAGGGGAGGTAAGGTCAGGGCTTGATCAAAAGCTGGAGTGAACCATCGGATGTCACGATCGTCGAACACGGACTGCCGCACCTAGGTTTGAGCTTGAATCGTCAAACCGCTGGCGCGTTAACAGGAACTATAGCCGCAGCGACTTTGCCTCCAGCATTGAAAGAGAACTGGGGCTTCTCCTTTTACATAAGGAGAATTCTCGCTCGTCTTCAAGATCCATGACCTCCGGTCCCAGAAGGGTAGATTTGGAATTTAGTAACGGCTCTTGGTGACAGACTCCCAGGTCCA